AACTCTGTCTTTCAAATAAATAAAATAAATCTGAAAAAAAAAAAAGAAAAACAAAAAAGATAAAGTTAAATGCCATAAAGTGAAGTTTTTTTTTTTTTTAATTTAATAATGAACAAACTGTTGGCCTGAACAAGTGCACATTCAAGTGGCAGGGTGAGAAGCAAGGTTTCAATGTGTTGTAATGTGAGTGGTGATGAATTTAGGATGGGGATTGTAGAGGGCTTGTTGATGGCACTCCACTGAAACAGAAAGGTGATGGGAGTAGGGGAGGAAAGGTAGACTAAGGTCTGGTAAGTAGTGGGATAATGGAAAACCTGGCAGGGAGTGGTCAGCATGTGGGTGGAGGCTGAAGTGACACATCCAGGTTCATGGGAATACGGAAAGGATGTGATCCAGACAAGGAGAACGGGCCTTCATGACCCTCACTCACATCCTCTCCTGTCCGCAGACTGTGGACGTGGCAATAACGGGCATTATGTGTACAGTGTTATCTGTGTTACCCAATTACTTTGTTTCAGTTCCCTGAGGAGAAATGTAGGTGCTGAGTGTTTGGAATTGAAGTCCAGAGATGTAAGAGGGAGGATTGAGGGCTGATAGAAATTTTGAATAGCTCCAGGCAAAGCAGATCGGAAGGTGGCAGATGGGAGCTAAGATACATGAGAGGAGCAGTTTTATGTCCCCACGTGGAGCTGGGTTTTCTGAATTTTTCACACTAACAGCCTTAAATTGGGAGAAGAAATTCTTGTGGCATTATTTTCACTGATTTAGGAGTATAGAATTAATTTCTGCATAAGGGTTTGTAATGGGAGGGGAGGACTTGGACTCTAAGGTATAGAGGAGACTGATACAGTGGGGAAACAATATTGATAAATAAGTTTCAGTGAAGGTGACTGGTTAATATTTCTTATAAGGGGGCTGGCACTGTGGCATAGTGGGTAAGGCTGCCACCTGCGGTTTCCGGCATCCCCTATGGGTGCTGGTTTGAGTCCCGGCTGCTCCACTTCCAATCCAGCTCTCTGCTATGGCTTAGGAAGGCAGTGGAAGATGGCCCAAGTGCTTGGGCCTCTTGCACTGTGTAGGAGACCTGGAGGAGTCTCCAGGTTCCTGGCTTTGGATTGGCCCATCTCTGGCCATTGTGGCCATTTGGGGATTGAACCGGTGGATGGAAGACCTCTCTGTCTCTCTCTCTGCCTCTGCTTCTGAGACTTTGCCTATCAAATAAATAAATAAATCTTTAAAAAAAATTTCCTCTAAGGGAGTGAGGACTAGGGACAACAGGAGATTCTGATATGAAAGTGGGAGATTAGAAATTAATGTATCAGAACTGGAGCACATTGAATTCCTGAGAATGACCATTGAGAAGATTCTGTTCATCAGCTTTTTGTTACTTTATAAATCCATGAGAGGAACAATTTAGGAGGAAAGAAGGTTCATTTAAATCTTACAGTTTTGGAGGTTCACAGTTCAAGATCAGGTAACCTCATGTGTGGAGAAGGATCCCAGGGTAAACCACGAGGCAGAGCAAAACAAAGGGATTGGGAGCCAGCACTGTGGTGTAGTGTGCTAAGCCTCTGCCTGCCGTGCCAGTATCCCATGTAGGCACCGGTTCGAATCCTGGCTGCTCCACTTCTGATCCAGCTCTCTGCTATGGCCTGGGAAAGCAGTAGAAGATGGCCCAAGTTCTTGGGCCCCTGCACCACTTGGGAGACCTGGAAGAAGCTCCTGGCTCCTGGCTTGGGATCGGCGCAGCTCCGGCTGTTGCAGCCATTTGGGGAGAGAACCAATGGATGGAAGACCTCTCTCTCTCTCTCCCCCTCTCATGAGAAACCCTCAGTGACTTTCCCCTTGAACCACGTTGCAGGTGCTGTAATTATGTTGTCTCCACTCTTAACTCACTGACATTCATCCTCCAGCTGTTAACCTAGGACTTTGGGGTTTAAACACCTACATGAATTTGGGAAGCCAAATGCTGTTCACACTGTAACAAGGATTGTGTTTTTATGAGGTCAGGAAACTTGTAAGTAGGGACTTGATTGGATTATCCACACTGGCAAATGAATGTAGAGTAGAAAATGGTTGGTGGAGCACCTGCTTTTCATTTAGTGGAGGCAGTAACAGATGATGGTGCCTGTTGGTAACAAGGGGAGTTAGAGGCTATGCTGTTTTATCTTCAGAGGAAGAGAGTTTTTCTCCCGTGAAGATGAAATGTGTGAATTTCTTAGTAGTAGGGGCCTCTGTCTTTTGAATATTTTGTGATATTAATATTGAAAATGATTTGACTTTTTTATTAAATCAGTGATCTTTAAAATAGGACATTGAGGGTACATTGGTTATTTGAAACAATTTAATATGCTTTGGTGGAGGCCGGTGGCCCGGGGAAAGGGTGAAGGATAGGTTGGGATGGCAGAGGAATGATACTTTTCAAAAGGAGATGTTTAGATTTACCAACATTAATCAGCTTTTCGGTTTTTTGTAGGTAAGGAAATTTGTCATTGTTTTAGGATTAGCATTATAGCAGCAGGGAACAAAGATGTACAGTATTTTGGATCTTTATATCACTTCTGGAAGTTTGTATTTTAAAAGAAGTATGTTTCTGTGAGTTTAACACAGTTGATTAGCTGGAACTGAGATGGCACATAATAACATGAGGTTTTGTTTTCTTTTACGCTATCACTTTTTTTTGTTGTTGTTGTTGTTAATTTGAAAGAGTTAGAGAACTTGAATCTTCCATCTACTGGTTCACTTCCCCAGATGGCTGCAATGGCCACGGATGGGCCAGGCAGAAGCCAGAAGCCAAGAGCTTCTTCCAGGTTTCCCGTGTGGGTGTCAGGGACCCAACACCTGGGCTATCTTCTGATGCTTTCCCCAGGTAATTAGCAGGGAGTTGGATCGGAATTGGAGCAGCCAGGACATGAACTGCCACCCGTATTGGATGCTGGCATCTCAGGTGGTGATCTACCCACTACACTACAATGCTGGCCCTGTGGTTGTTGACTTATGGATGAATGTGACATCTAATCTTTAGTGTATTTCTTTTGTAGGTAATTATAGATAGTTTCACAAATAACATTATACTACTATAACCTCTCTGTAGTCCATTTATTTTTTTTGACAAAATGAAAAATATTTAATAAGCAAAAAAGCAATCAATTTAAAAGGTATTACACGCGTGACATAGTACAAACACCAAGACAGAGCTGTTAACTTAGCAGTTCTTGTAAAAACGAGAATGCCTGACAGTGCCTCCCCCGGCCTCATTCAGTGAGTAAGCTGGGCACCACCCAGTTACTTCAAATTGGCTTTTCTTCTCACTTTATGAAGCCACATTTGCTATTCCTCTTGAGAGTCCATTTATTCTTTAATAACTGCTGATTTAGACTAATTTAATTTTCAAGTGCAAAAGGAGCATCATTCTGCCTTTCAAATAAATAAATCTTAGAAAAAAAGTTTTTGCATTGGTATTCATTTGGGGAGCAATACCAAGTCTGTTGTGCAATCATCCCGCTAAAAGAATGATCTTCTGTTACTCTTGGTAGGAGTGCACTGACCAGCCAGCGATGTGGCACAACTACTTAAAGTCTTGGCCTGCAGTGCCGGCATCCCATACGGGCGTCAGTTTGAGCCCCGGCTGCCCCACTTCTGATCCAGCTCCCTGCTAATGTGCCTGGGAAAGCAGAGGAGGATGGCCCAAGTGCTTGGGCCCCTGCCCTCCCTTGGGAGACACGAAGTAGTTCCTGACTCTGGATCGGCTCAGCTCCAACTGTTGTGGCCATTTGGGAAGTGAACCAGTGAATGGAAGACCTCTCTCTCTCTCTCTGTTTCTACCTCTTTCTGTAATTTTTTCAAGTACTTAAAATAAGTCTTTAAAAAAAAGTGCATTGAATTTGTAGAAGACCATAAGCTTTGAGTTCAGATATATCTAGGTCACCTGGTCTGTTTCCCTTGTTTGATTAATGACTTTACCAGGGTTTCTTCTTTCTTAACTTGGATTTTTGATCCTTGAAAAAAGTACTGTTTTCTCCAGAGCATTAAAGTAAAAAAATTATATGAAATAATGTAAAGTGAATGGAATGTTGGCCTATGATCTATTTTCCTTTGTTAGTCAAATAGAATAATTAAGAAGAAGCTCTAGGAACCTTTAAATAGTAGAAGCAGGTTTTTTCCCCCATCCTAGTGAGAGGAAGTGAATCATTAGGTGATCGGATCTTCAGATTCCTACAGGAGTAACTCTTCCTTACTGATGTTTATTTTTCAATGACTCCAGAATTTTTAAATGGCGTTAATACAATCAAAACACTTGAAAGCAGTTAACACTGTTGTTAACAGTTGTGATAACTGTTTTCTATATACACTCATAAAGATGAAGAAAAAGGCTTAACCATTGACTCTTAATCCCAGTTCTGGCACCTGCCCTGTATGACTGACTCGAAGGTTCTAGGTGGACTAACAGGCACTCACCTGGTCCGTGATGGGAGCTGTGGTGAAATGCACCGAAGGTCTTGGGAATTGGAATCTAGAGGTCTACACAGAGTGGAAGTAGGAGCATCCTGGAGCCAGTTTGGAATATTTACTGGGCCAGTAGAGACTTGTTGGTTCTCTGTTAGTGATGTGTGTACTTCTTCAAAATGTAGATACTTTTATTTTTTTAAAGATTTATTTATTTGAAAGGCAGAGAGAGAGAGATGTCCTCCATCCTCTGGTTCACTTCCCAGATGGCTGCAATGGCTGGAGCTGCGCCGATCTGAAGCCAGGAGCCAGGAGCCTCCTCCAGGTCTCCCATGTGGGTGCAGGGGCCCAAGGACCTGGGCCGTCTTCTACTGCTTTCCCAGGCCACAGCAGAGAGCTGGGCTGGAAGTGGAGCAGCAGGACTCAAACCTGTGGCCATATGGGATGCTGGCACTGTTAGGTGGCAGCCTTACCTGTTATGCTATAGTGCCAGCCCCAAAATGTGTATACATTTTCAGTTGGTGTTTTAAGAAAAATTGTTTTCTATTTTTCAGAAAAAACAAGGAGAGAAATGACAGCCAAAGGCTCTACAGGAATGGAAGTTCTGCTGACAACATTAGAGGTAAGTTACTAGCAGGCTTTGATTATATAATTGTTAATATGAAGCAATGCTGAGGTAAGTTACTAGCAGGCTTTGATTATATAATTGTTAATATGAAGCAATGCTGAGGTAAGTTACTAGCAGGCGTTGATTATATAATTGTTAATATGAAGCAATGCTGAGGTAAGTTACTAGCAGGCGTTGATTATATAATTGTTAATATGAAGCAATGCTGAGGTAAGTTACTAGCAGGCGTTGATTATATAATTGTTAATATGAAGCAATGCTGAGGTAAGTTACTAGCAGGCGTTGATTATATAATTGTTAATATGAAGCAATGCTGAGGTAAGTTACTAGCAGGCGTTGATTATATAATTGTTAATATGAAGCAATGCTGAGGTAAGTTACTAGCAGGCGTTGATTATATAATTGTTAATATGAAGCAATGCTGAGGTAAGTTACTAGCAGGCGTTGATTATATAATTGTTAATATGAAGCAATGCTGAGGTAAGTTACTAGCAGGCTTTGATTATATAATTGTTAATATGAAGCAGTGCTGAAGGAAACAGTCCTCGTATATTGTGTGTGTGTGTGTGTGTGTGTGTGTGTGTATGAAGTATAACATTTTTTTCTTAGAGATAAAGTCAATGAATGAAAGCTTATTTTGTGTCTTATATTATTTGAAATGGTGATTAGGTGGATTTCTAGGTTATTTCCTTGTGATTATAATTAAACCATAAATTTTAATCTTAATGCCATTCTAATTAGATATAATAATAGAAAATAACACATTATCTGGAAACAAATCTTTAACTTCAAATAAGCAATACATATTGGAAATTCTTTTTTATTGTATTAGTTGATATACATTCATGATTTGCTTTAGTATATATATGTTAGTTGAGTAACTACATTGTATTGATGATAATTGATATTCAGTGTTAGTGTAGAAGTTTTGGGTAGACCAGCAGGGTATATTCAGTATTCAGAATCAGAATTCTGTGTTTTATTCAATACAAAGAATGAAAGGAAAATAAAGATTTATTTATTTATTTGGAAGAGTTAACAGAGGGATGGAGAGAGAGAGAGAGAGACCAGATGGCCACAATGACCAAGAGCTTCATCTAGGTCTCCCATATGGGTGGCAGGGGCCTGAACACTTGGGCCATCCTCTGCTGCCTTTCCCAGGCCATTAGCAAGGAACTGGATGGGAAGTGGAGCAGCTGGGATACGAACTGGCACCTGTATGGGATCCCGGCATCACAGGCAGTGGCTTTACCAGCTGTATCACAATGTTGGCCCCGAATTCATGTTCTTTGGTAGGATGTCTTTTTTTTTTTTTTTTTTTTTTTTTTTTGACAGGCAGAGAGAGAAAGAGAGAAAGGTCTTCCTTCCCCCCCAAATGGCCGCTACGGCTGGTGCACTGCGCCAATCCGAAGCCAGGATCCAGGTGCTTTCCTCCTGGTCTCCCATGCAGGTGTAGGGCCCAAGCACTTGGGCCATCCTCCACTGCCTTCCCAGGCCACAGCAGAGAGCTGGACTGGAAGAGGAGCAACCAGGACAGAACCGGCGCCCCGACTGGGGCTAGAACCCAGGGTGCTGGTGCTGCAGGCAGAGGATTAACCTAGTGAGCTGCAGCGCCGGCCGGTAGGAAGTCTTAACATTGTAAAAGTGGCATTTCTCTCTAAATTGATCTGGCAATTTAGGGCAATCTCAATAGAAACACTAAGAGTTGGTTCTGGTGTCATGGTAGAATATGTTAAGCTGCCACCTGCAGCGCTGGCATCCCATATGGGTGCCAGTTTGAATCCTGGCTGCTCTACTTCCTATCCAAATAATGTGCCTAGGAAAGCAGTGGGAGATGGCCCAAGTGCTTGGGCCCCTGCACCCATATGGAGGACCCAGAAGTTGTTCCTGACTCCTGGCTTCAACCTGGCCCAGCCCTGGCTGTTGTGGCCATCTGGGGAGTAAAGCAGCAAATGCAAGATCTTCCTCTCTCTGTGTCTCTGTAACTCTGCCTTTCAAATAAATAAATATATCTTAAAAAAAAAAAAAAAGAAATACTAAGAGTTTTGTTTCTAAAGTTAAAGTGAGGAGAAAAATAAAGCAAAAATAGAACATCTCTGAAAAAGAGAAATTAGAACTATTACCAAACATCAAAGGACATTATAAAGCTTTATTAATTAAAATGGTTTAGAAATTATGTGTATAGGTAGTAGATAGGCATCCATGTAATAGAAAAATCAAAAAATGAATTAAGATATTTAAGGGAATTTAATACTACGTAATTAAAAGCATTTCAGATTAGTGTGGAGCAGAGGGCCTACTTAATAAGTAGACAGGGGACAGGTTGGTAGCCATCTGGGAAGGCGTAACATTTTTTTTCTCCCAGACACCTTTTAAGGTATATAAAGTTCATGCATTTCATTAATACAAATTTAAGAACATAGTCATTCTTCTCACCCCACTCTCCCTCCCACCCAATCACCCTTCTTCCTCCTCCCTTTCCCATTCCCATTCTTATTTTCCACTAAGATCTATTTTCTATCTAACTTTATAGATGTAAGACTAACCCTACACTAAATAAAGAGTTCAGCAGAGACTAAGGGCTGTTGAAAGTCATCCCATCTCAAAGTGTCAATTATCTCATGCATCCTACATCAAAATGAGTTCTATATAAAACAGAGATTGAAGTATGAAAAGTAAAATCCCAATACTAGATGAAGCATTGGGATTTAAAAAAATAATCTTACAAAAAGAAGGCTTTTTTTATGTGGGAAACAAACAGGAGCCAGAAGAGAAAAGACTGATACATTTTTAACCACAAAAATGCTTGGATAAAACCACTATCAATAATTGGAAACTCATAGATTTTCTTTAACATAAAGAGCTTCTAAAAGTCAATGAGGAAAATAAAGACCATGTAAAAGTTATGAATGGACAGTTCCCAGATATGGAAAGACCAATGTCACTTGAGATTGAACATCATATCCAGTAAGAGAAATGTAACCGAAGTGCAGTGTTTGAACATTTTCACTTTGTAGGTTGGTTGTCCATCCAGGCTTTGAGAATTGGGCTCTTTTCCATTGCGGATGATGTGTGAATTATCCCGTGGAGAGCAGTTTGATATTGTCTGTCAACATAAGTCCCCATATTCTTTGACCTAGAAATTTATTTCACAAACAGATGTGCTTCATCACATGTAAACATATGTAGTTACTTTTTGCAGTTTTTTAATAACAACTTAAACATCCGTGGGTAAGTGACTGAGTTACATGAACGATGGTATAGTCACACGAGCGGACTCAAAAAAAATTCATGGAACAATAAAATTAATATTTTCTATGAACTTTTTGAGAACCTCTTGTAGAATGGAATTTATCCGGTAGCCCTTAAAATGAGGGAAGAAGCTATTGATTGATTGCCCTGTAAAAAATCAAAGTGCAGAGTAGTATCTGCTGGGTAGCTCCATTTGAAGAAGTGAATCAGTCTACATGTTTGTATAGATGGGTTTCTTTTTTGTGTGTTTATTTTTGGTAGAATACACAAGAAACTAACATGATTACTTCCAGATATGGAGCTGGATGACTGAACAGTCACCATGCATACATCTTAGTGCCTCTTATGTTATTTATTTTTATTTGTTTGAAAGGGAGAGCGACAGATAGATAAGAGATAAGAGACAGAGACATAGAGATCTTCCTTTGCTTGCCTATTCCCCTGAAGCTGGGACAGGTTGAAGCCAGGGGCCTGGAACACCATTTGGGTCTCCAGCAAGGGTGGCAGCTGCATCTCTGGGTGTGCCTCAGCTGGAAGCTGAATTAGAACCCAGATTCCATGCAGGATGCAAGTCTTGGGTTTTATTGTCTATCTGGTACAAAGATGAAGAATTCAGTTAATTCCTCCTACAGTAGCGCTGATACTAAGACAATGATAACTCAAATGACTTGTGAAAATTCTTAAAGGCAGCCAGAAATGATGGAAGTGATATGAGAATAGTAGAAACCTGAATGCATTTGTTCTTAGAGAAATTGGAAGAGTCATGTGTAAAATATAGATAGTTCCCAGCAGGTCAAAAAAATGTTTGGGAATCACAAATTTATGGTGTTTTAATAAAGCAACTCAATTATTTATTTCAGAACACGAAAGATCTGCAAACAACACTTAATATCTTAAACATTCTTGTTGAGCTGGTGTCAGCTGGTGAGTTTTTATTTTCTTTGGTAAGATTTGTTTATAAGCAGTGAGCAGCAATGTATCGTGTACTTTATTTGGAGTTTTCTGATACTCATAGAGGGGCTTTTCTGAATACTGGAATTTAGACACTGAAATATCATAGTTTTGTTACTGCTTGTTTTTGGTATCTTCAAGTATTCCTCAAACTACCCCAAACAAAATTATGTTTAATAGCCTTGAACTTAACCGATAATTTTGGTATCATACATGCTTATTCTTTGTGTGCTGTATCCTAAATATATGAAATAAAAGTGATTTTGGTAGTATTTATTTGGCTTTAGAAATCAGCACTTTAAACATTTATTGAATGTTAACAAATTGTGATACCTAATATAGGAAGGTTTGTTGTTGAAAAGCATTTTTTTTAAACTTTTAGGCGGAGGTCGAAGAGCGAGTTTCTTAGTTGGCAAAGGTGGTTCACAAATATTGTTACAGTTACTTGTGAATGCCAGCAAAGAATCTCCCCCACATGAGGAGTTAATGGTACAGATTCATTCAATTCTTGCAAAGATTGGACCAAAAGGTAAAGGTTTCCCTTGCATGCATATTGAATCCAGACCATCTTTGTGAAATTCATTCTTTCTGCTCACTTTAAAAAAATCTAAAATGCTACTTTTTTTTTTTTTTTTTGGCCTTAGCAATGGAATGCTTTTTACAGTTACCTAGTGACTTTCAGGGGTGGAGGACCCTGGGACCACCTGTGATGCTGGTGTCCTATATGGGGTTGGTTTGTGTTCCAGCTGCTCTGCTTCTTATCCAGTTCCTTGCCAATGCACCTAGGACAGCAGCAGAAGATGGCCTAAGTTCTTGGGCCCCTGCCACCTACATGGGAGACCTGAGACGAAGCTCCTGGCTTTGGCCTGGCCCAGACCTGGCCTTTGAGGCCATCTGGGAAGTGAACCAGCAGATGGAAGATCTCTCTGTGTGTCTCCCCCTCTTTTTCTGTAGTTCTGCCTTTCAAATAAATAATTCTTAAAAAGATGGAGGACCCCAAATTCATGAAATTGTTCTGCATGTAGTAGAGAAAGGCAGAAAAATGTTAGAATCACAAGTGTATATAAATTGTGTGTGTGTGTATGTGTGTGTATACACATGAATGTAGGTGTAAAGGTTATCTGTGATAGGGCTATGGTTGAGGCTAGAAGGAAACAGTATGCATGGGAAAGTTCTTGTTTTTGAAAATTTTTTAAAATTTAAAAAAAAATTTTTTTTGACAGGCAGAGTTAAACAGTGAGAGACAGAGAGTTATAGACAGTGAGAGAGAGACAAAGAAAGGTCTTCCTTCCGTTGGTTCACTCCCCTAATGGCTGCCACGGCCAGCGCTGCGCCGATCTGAAGCCAAGAGCTGGGTGCTTCCGCCCGGTCTCCCTTGCGGGTATAGGGACCCAAGCACTTGAGCCATCCTCCACTGCCTTCCCGAGCCACAGCAGAGAGCTGGACTGGAAGAGGAGCAGCCGGGACTAGAACCCGGGGTGCTGGTGCCACATGTGGAGGATTAGTCAACTGAAAAAATTTTTATTTATTTATTTGGAGTGGGAAGGAGAAGTAGGTAGGTAGAAATAGACAGCAGACATCTCGTCCATTTTCTGGTTCACTCCCTAAATGCCTGCAACAGCCAGTCTGGGTGAGGCTGAAGCCAGGAGGGAGTAACTCAGTCTGGGTGGGTGGCAGGAACCCAATTACTGGAGCCATCACCTGCAGCCTCCCAGGGAGAATCGGCAGGAGGTCTGAGTCAGAAGCAGAGCTGGGACTTGGAACCAGGTGCTCCAGTTTGGGATGTGTGCATCCCAAGATGAGTCTTAACTGCTTTGCCGAACGCCTACCGGTGGATAGGAATGCTGGGGAACATGGAGACAGAGTGGGTCATTGCTTTTCATTAAGTCACATTTGTGCTGCGTAGTCTCAATACCTAGGAAACTTGCAATCTAGCAAAGAAGAGCAAAATACATGCAGTTCTGAGACTGATTATTACCGCAGTAAGACATGCAAAAATATTTAAAAAATAGACTAAGAAAAGTGGGATATACCCATGGACCAAAGGAGCAAGCTGATTTACGTCAGGTTAATGGAGGAAGGATCTTTTGAATGGAATCTGAGTTCATTTTGCAGCTTTGTGTAAGCACAAAGATTAAATGATTTCTTAACCTCTTTGAATTGTTTTAAGAGTTTTGCCTGTGGCAAAGGCATATGAGTTTTAAATTTTAGAGTATTTAGGCCGGCGCCGTGGCTCACTAGGCTAATCCTCCGCCTTGCGGCGCCGGCACACCGGGTTCTAGTCCCGGTCGGGCGCCAGATTCTGTCCTGGTTGCCCCTCTTCCAGGCCAGCTCTCTGCTGTGGCCAGGGAGTGCAGTGGAGGATGGCCCAAGTGCTTGGGCCCTGCACCCCATGGGAGACCAGGATAAGTACCTGGCTCCTGCCATCGGATCAGCGCGGTGCGTCGGCCACAGCGCGCCAGCTGCGGCGGCCATTGGAGGGTGAACCAACAGCAAAGGAAGACCTTTCTCTCTGTCTCTCTCTCTCTCACTGTCCACTCTGCCTGTCAAAAAATTAAAAAAAAAAAAATTTAGAATATTTAGCTTAACTACCTTTTCAGAAAAGTGTGTATTTATGTAGTATATACATAGTTTATGTATTTACATTTAATGTACATTAATATTTAGTGTGAATGCTTAATAAATATAGGTTTAATGCATATCTTTATATTATTTAGCTAGTTTTTTACCAGATAAATAATAGTGATTGGATTTTAATTTTCCTGGTATATTAGGGGCCTTAAGAAGTAAGCATATGCTCAGGTAAAGCTACCATTTGTGATGCTGGCATCTAAATGAGTGCCGGTTCATGTTCCAGCTGCTCCACTTCCAATCCATTTCCCTGCTAATGCACCTGGGAAAACAGCTGAAGATGGCCCAGGTGTTTGGGAGACCTGGAAGAAGCTCCTGGCTTTGGCCTGGCCCAACCCTGGCTGTTGCAGCCGTCTGGGGAGTGAACCAGTAGATGGAAGATCTCTCTGTCTCTGTCTCTCCCTCCCTCTCTATAACTCTGATTTTCACAATAAGTAATAAAAAAGAAATATGTAAGTTGTATTTTATTTTTCTTTAACTCTTGTATGTGAGATTTAAGGACCCCCTTTAGAGATTTTTGCAAACAATCAAAAAGTAAGAAAATCTTATTTATTATTGACTATTACTTTGTTTCCTTCTCTAATTAGAACCAAGTTATCTTGTACTTTTCATGAAGTTAAGCCATTTATGTATTTAATTTATATTTGTATTTAACATTCAAGTTGTAGGAATCTGTACTTTTTCTATGTATTTGAAAAAATGTGTGCTATTCCTTTACTATTTGACCTAGTTTTCTGTTTTCATGTCATTGAAAGCATCGAACGGTAATTTCTTCAGTGATAGTGATTTTTTATCCTGTTTTTTTTCTTGAGAGGTCAGAATTACTTTCCCATGGTATTATTTAGTTCTCTGACTTAGAATTCTTTTTTTCATGATTATTTGTTTTCATCTTATTTGAAAGAGAGAGAGAGAGACAGAGAGGAAGAGATTGATTTTCCATTTGTTAGTTCACTCCCCCAATGCCTGTAGCAGCCAGGGCTGGGCCAAGCCGAAGCCAGGAACCTAGAACTCCATCTGGGTTTCCCACATGGGTGGCAGGGACCCAAGAACTTGAGCCATCTTATCTGCCTTCCAGGGTACACATTAGCAGGAAGCTGGATTGGAAGCAGAGAGGCTGTGACTGGAACCACAGACTCCGTTACAGGATGTAGGCACCCCAAATGGCATCCTATCCACTGTGCCAGACGCCTGCCCTTGACTTAGAATTTTGTTTGTGAAGTTTCTCTATTTGCTGGTCCAACATACTTTTTTGTTTAAATCTTAACATTCTTATGTTCTTGTTACTTAAATTTATTTTTACTCTTTTAGTTTCTTGGTAGGCATAAAAACCAAGAGCAACTCTTCCTTTTTTATGTTGAGTTACGTTATTGTACAGATTTATTGAATGATATTTGCCAGATTATTTTCTACATAGGCTGTTCATTTTTAAAAAGTCAATTTATAATTTTCTGTAAGGCTGAGAAGAATACTGGTAATGAACATTTAGCCTGTTCCTTATTCTGCTCAGCTATATATGGGTTTCCTAGGAAATGTGTTGAACCAGGCAGACTTGACATGTGCAGTGGGTCAGGTAAATTCTTCCTTTTATGACAGTCTAACTGTCGGGCTATTCTAGCTGTGTCCTCTCACCTGAGCCCCTTCCCCACCGCCCTTTGGTATGTTGCTTCCGATGCAAGGGGTGTTTTCACAGTCACATGATTGTAATTTTAGTTCCTTCCAGTCAGGTTTTTATTTGACAGTATGAATTCACAATATGAATTTAAGGTATTATTGCTTTGTGATACCTTCATTTCATTCACAATTTACATGTAAATAAATTGCATTTCTCTTCTTTGAAACAGATAAAAAATTTGGAGTGAAAGCTAGAATTAATGGGGCTCTGAATATCACCCTGAATTTGGTCAAACAGAATTTGCAGAATCATCGCTTAGTTTTACCTTGTCTTCAGCTTTTACGAGTGTATTCTGCCAACTGTGAGTATTTGAGGGGCCTTTGGTTAATTCAGTGTTGTGAAGTTACACAAAAGGAAAACCTTAGAGTACCTTAACTCTGTAAACTTCTGAAACTTGTGGACAAGGAAAGGGAAGATTAGATATGGCTTATTGTAACTCCTAACTCCAACTACAACAAAAGAGACGTGGGGTGAGGACGTGCGTTGACGCAATCTTGAGAATTCTCAGTAACTGCCCAGTTTGTAAAGAACTGGGGTAAGGGTGCTGAGTAGGTGTGGAAGAGTAGGGAAGCAGCAGAGTGCAGAAAGATGGTGCGAGAGCTTCGAGAGAAGCTGGAGAGGGAAGGCAGAGACAGCCCCTGTGGGTCTCCCAGACTCTCCTACTCAGCAGCCCTAGGTCTCACCGCATTGAGGTAGGGGCTTCCTTCCCACTCCCCTGCTATGGAGTGAGGAACATTGCAAAGTAACAGAAAATGCTTTGCCTGTGTGTCTATCTAGGCTTTAACACTATGGCTAATGATGTGCTTAGAGGAAAATACCTTTGGATGCTTACATAATAAATAGTTTTATTGTTAGAAAATGAATAGATACCTAACCAAAATAGTTAAGAACAGAAAAACACTCATAACACAGGAATGGAAAAAATGGAAACATATATTAGAAAAACAGGAAAACAGTTGATTTAAAAAAAATTGGATTTAAAAAAAATTACAAAAAAGGAACACAGCATAGACATAAGTAAATCTTAAAAAAAAATGTTCTTATTTCCTTTTGTATCTATGTATTATTCTACTGTTCCTTCAACTTTTATTTTCTTGAGAGGTAGCGTTATAGAGAGAGGTCTTTCATCCTCCCCAAATGGCCGCAATGGCCAGAGCTTTGCTGATCTAAAGCCAGGAGCCAGGAGCTTCTTCTGGGTCTCCCATACTTGAGCGGGGACCCAAGCACTTGGGCCATCTTTCACTGCTTTCCCAGGCCATTAGCAGAGAGCTGGATTGGAAGAGGAGCAGCCGGTATATGAACTGGCGCCCACATGGGATACCTGTGCCATAGGAGGAAGCTTAGCCCACTATGCCACAGCGCTGCCCCAGGAACATCTTCCAAAACATTTAAAAGCTACATTTTTGGGGCCAGTGCCATGGCACAGTAGGTTAATCCTCTGCCTGGGGCACCAGCATCTCATATGGGCGCCCGTTCTAGTCCTGGCTGCCCCTCTCCCAGTCTAGCTCTCTGCTGTGGCCTGGAAAAGCAGTAGAGGGTAACCCAAGTGCTTGGGGCCCTGCACCCACATGGGAGACCAGGAGGAAGCTCCTGGCTTCGGATCAGCGCAGCTCCGGCTGTTGCAGCCATTGGGGAGTGAACCAACGGAAGGAAGACTATCTCTCTATCTCTCCTTCTCACTGTCTGTAACTCTAACTCTCAAATAAATAAATAAAATCTTAAAAAAAAAAAAAAGAGCTACATTTTTAGTGGTGTTTTACTGAATTAACACTTTCCCAGGCCACAGCAGAGAGCTGGATTGGAAGTGGAGCAGCCGGGACTGGAACCGGTGCCCATATGGGATGTCGGCACTGCAGGCGGCAGCTTTATCCACTATGCCACAGCGCTGGCCCCGATAATTGGGTATTAAAATTGCTCCCCATTTTTCCTTACTACCACTGCTTTAATGAAGGTCTTCTTAACCTCCCACCAAGACCACACAGCCTTAGTGTCCCTCAAATCCTCTTCCCCAGAGCACTGCAAGTTCTGATCTGTTTCTGGGACATTTTGGGTGTTTCCCTGGAGCTGACAATTAATTTCTGGGGCCGTTGGTAATTTATTTCCTACCTCCGTTTCCTGCTTTGTCTTCTCGTGCGTTCTGAGACAGCATGTGATGGCTTACTCCCATGCTGTCCCTTGTCTCTGTGCAGTAGTCTGTGCTGCCCTTGTCTGCAGAGACCCTTGGTGAACCCAGCCACCCAGGAGCTCCCGCTGCCGTCCTGGGTCACTCCTGCTGATGTTAGAAGACTGAGCCCAGGCATCATGTTCTCTGGAACCGCCTGGCTCCTCCTGGATTCAGGATTTCTCTGGTGTAACCCAAGTAGCCTAGCTCTTTTACTCTTCTGGAAACTAAGCTAGTGATTATGTGTGTTGTCAGTCTTTCTGTTCTGTGTTCTCTCGGGCAGACCAATCCTTGTGACTGGCATTCAGTGAAGTTCATTAAGTTTAGGTGGAACAATGGGACAACTGAAGCACTTAAAAATTTTTTTTGGTTGTGACTTATTTTGGGATTGGCCTGCAACTTCCATTTGAAAGAGAGAAACAAACCCCGTCCCTTCAGGTCCACCATAGCTAAGGTGGGCTTTAAGAGAGACTTGAGTTCACACTTAGGTAACAATTTGTGTATATTTTTGGCCATGCATTACCAGGTGTACACATTTTTAATTACTGAAGTTTTCTTTTTTTTAACCACTTTGCATCTTTTCTCTCCCTTCCAGCTGTGAATTCGGTATCCTTAGGGAAAAATGGAGTTGTGGAATTGATGTTTAAAATCATTGGACCATTTAGTAAGAAGAATTCCAGTCTTATGAAGTGAGTAAATAGCCATTGTTAATTCTGGACCTCAGTATCTTCATATGTACAATGAGCAGGTTGAATTAAATTGTATCTAGGGTCTTTTCCTAGTTCTTAAATTATGATTTTTATCATAATAAAGATTTTTATCTTCAGATTACATCAACTTTAGAAAGTTTTAGATTGACTGATCTATAGGTTTCATAGAAATTTAGATTTTGAACATTGCTAAATAGCATAAGAAGGAAAAATAATTTATAGAATATCATTCACTCAAAAACATTTATTGAGTGCCTACTATATTTCCCACTCAGTTTCACAGTCTTTTAATGACTATTTCTTTTGTTCTCACAACTACCCTGACATGCCTTACATTTGCACGTTTATATTTTATTAGTCATGTCATTCTTTCTTTTATATGTGTGACTGTGTGTAATTCTCATCCATTCATAGGACTTTGAACTGCAGAAAATAAAGTGGTTTCTAGTTATCTGTTTATGTTTAGTATTTTCTTAAGCTGTATTAGAGGTATTTGAAGTTTTTTTGTGGGATTTTCAAACATCCATGAAATATAGTTTCTATGCTATTCTATTAAACTAATTTAAGAAGTTACTTATTGCTTATGTGTTCAACAGTTATTAATTTTCTGCCACTTTTGTTTCATTTATTTCCCATATGTTTCGGATTGTTTTTTCTGGGGTACCCTTCTAAGCAGATTGCAGGTGATGTGTGTGTGTGTGTTTCTGTAAACAAATCCCCGTTACTTTCTTTGAATACTATCATTTCTCTCCTAAATACTACAATATATAAGTCTTCCAAATAAGGACTTAAAAAATAACCGTACAAATATATCCAACAAAATTATTAATTTCTTAATGCAATCTAAAATCTAGGCTTCAGTTTTCTCCAGATGTTTCAAACCTCTGCATCTTTGCAGTTTGTTTGAATCAGAATTTATACAAGAAACATTGTGGCTTATTCCGTTTATGAAATTTATAAGCCTACATAAAAGTACAGAGAATAGTATAATGAACTCATGTGCTTGTCACCTAATTTCAACAATAGTTAATAATCTGTTTTAATTTCATCTTCTCCCTCTGGCCTTGTTTACTCCTGGAGTATTTTAAAGCGAGGATTAACCATTATGTGTGATCTTTGAATTCCTTGTTATGAACACTATCAGATGCAGACTGTTTCAGTATTATGATATCATTTCTGTGCCCAACAATATTAATAATTGCTTAATATGCAGACTTTTTGAATAAGAAATATGTTATTTTCATTTGAATTGTTCAAATCAGGTTCAGATAAGATGTGTATGTTCCATTTGATTGATAGGTGTCCTAATCTTTTTTATTTTTAAGATTTATTTATTTATTTGAAAGAGTTACAGAGAGGCAGAGAGAGAGAGAGGTCTTCCATCTGCTGGTTCACTCCCCAAATGGCCGGAACAGCCAGCTGGGCTGATCCAAAGCCAGGAGCCTGGAGAGTCTTCCACATCTCCCACATGGGTTCGGGGACTGAAAGACTTGGGCCATCCTCCACTGCGTTCCCAAGCACATTAACTGGGAGCTGGATTGGAAATGGAGCAGCCAGGACTCGTACTGCCCATATGGGATACATATGGAGGCTGCAGACCAGGGCTTTAACCCATTGCGCCACAATGCTGGCCCTGCGTCATAATCTTTTTAAGTCAATAAAAGTCCCTGCCCCCCATTTTTTGGTTATGTTTTATTTGTTGAAGGACCTGGATGTTGTGACTCTTAGAGTGCACCACATTTTGTATTCAGATGACTACATCCTGAGATTGCTTGCTGTAAAGCTGTGTATCCCTTGCATTTTTTGTAGATCAGCAAAGCTAGTGGCTTGATTAGTTTTGAGCTCTCTTTATGGGATCAGAAATATTTCTTGGGTAGTCTAGGCATGTTGTTTTGCATCAGGCGAGGTCAGTGTGCTGAGGGAATCCATCCCATAGCAGCGTCTCCATTCACTTTGCTCTTAGTGACTCAGCAGCTGTCTATCACATTGCCGAGGCCTGTTTCAGTAGGGAGTGCAAACTAAAGACTTTTCCAGTTTGCTCTTTTTTTTTTTCCTGTTTATTAGCTGTGAATTATTGGTAAAAAAGAACTTATTCACATGAACTATTTGTTAAATTTTACCCTTAAACAGATAGGATTTAGGACATTGTCAGTCCTTTTATTCAAAATATTTTAAAATAATTTGGGAGTGTTACATGTAATTGTTTATTAAATATCATTTGGTGGGGCAACTCAACATATTTTACTTATGCAAAGATTATACACAATCCTAGAGCGTCTGATGATTGGTAATAACACAAATATGTAAAACTGGCTTACAAAGTCAGTGGAGTGGAGTGGTTTGGAGTAGCCTGTGGAGTCAGAGTTGGATTTGCACGTTAGTTCTGTAACTGTCCATGAGATCTGAAGTCAGTTTCTTAACCTGTAATGCCCCAGTTTCCTTGTCCCTAAAATAGTAATAATATTAGTTTTCTCCATTATCAGGTTTGTGAGGATTTAATGAGATGATATATATAATTAGCACCATTCCCATGTTAATGTAGTATTGTTTAGGAAAACAGAGTGTAATTGGATATGAATATGTCCTAATTAATACTAAAAGACTATTTTTTGCCTTTATTTAATGCAACATTTCTCCTCTTAATCTGCAAAGTACTTTATCGTTTATTTCTCATGTATTGGTCATGACCCCATACTTAAGATCTTCATTACTCTATTTTAACCAAGTTACCTAATCTGTTTGTAGGACAAATGGGACATTTCAAAGGCCTTTATAACATACCACATGACTACATCCAAAAACATGTGGAACTCGGTGGGTGTAAAATTTCTGAGAAGAAAATGTAGTTAAACAATCCCCTTATTCTGTTTCCTATTTATACTTCAAAAAGAAATACAAATTTTCTACTTTATTTTTTACTTTAAAATAAACTGCTTTAAAATAAACCACTCACTACTATATTCCTAAAGTTTTACCTATGAAATTTGCATTCATTAAATAAAAGCTTTAGAAAATAAAAGAAACCATATATTGACTAAACATTTTCTTTTTTTAATATTTTATTTATTTGAAAGAATTAAGGAGGGGGTGGGGAGACAAAGATGGAGAGAGAAGGAGAGGGAGAGGGAGAGGGAGAGGGAGAGAGAGAGAAATCTTCCATCAGCTGGTTCACTCCTCATGTGTCCTCAATGGCTGAAGTTGGGCCAGGTGAAAGCCAGAAGCCAGAAGCATCATCCAGGTCTCCCATGTGGGTGGCAGGGGCCCAAACTCTTGGGCCATCTTTCACTGCTTTTCCCAGTGCTGGCTTAGCCTTTAGGCTGATAGGCAGATTGCCAAGAAACCACACTGATTTTATAAACCCACAAAAATGCTTAATTTCTTTAAAAATCATAAGAAAAAAAATGAACCTTTAGGTTGAAGAAAATGTTAGTTTGTGATATTAATATTCATCTTTGTAGCAACTCAATTGTTAAATACAAATTTCAAATTTTTTTGTGGAGTAAGGGGCCCATGAAGGCAAGCAGTTGCCTGGAGCCCGTGAAAGTCATAATATGATCCTAATGGTGTGGCTGAGCCTGTGAGACTCTCAGCACCATCAAGAAGCTGAAGCTCCAGCACCTCCAGGAGCCTCACTGGGACTGGGGCCTATTGGTCCTGGCAGTCTCCCCCCCCCCCATTCATTTATTTGAGAGGTAGACTTACAGAGAGAGGGAGAGACAGAGAGATCTTCCATCAGCTGGTTCACTCCCCAAATGGCTGCAATGGCTGGGGCTGTGCTGATCTGAAGGGAGAAGCCAGGAGCTGCTTCCGGGTCTCCCACATGGGTTCAGGGGCCCAGGGACTTGGGCCATCTTCTACTGCTTTCCCAGGCCATAGCAGAGAGCTGGATTGGAAGTGGAGCAGCCAGGACTCGAACCAGGTCCCACATGGGATGCTGGCACCGCTGGCAGAGGCTTAGCCCACTACGCCATTGCCAGCTCCTAATCATTGTGTTTCACTCTGCCTCCTGGCTCACCCTGGGATCCTCCCTCCATACACATTCTGCCCTGTCCAGATGCCAGACTAGTGGGGTCACCTGATCTTGAGCTGGCACAGACCAGTGCCCATATGGGATGCCAGCACCACAGATGTGCTTAGACCGCTACGCCACAGTGCCGGCCCTGCTTGTAGTCATTTCTCTGCTGTACTTGCTGTCGTTACAGATTCATTTGCATGTTCAGTTTTATGTAAATGAAATCATACAGCATGTACTCTGTTTTTAATTTAAGTGGTTTTTATAAAAGTTTTAAAATCTGCCAGTTTTTAACATTTCGCAGCATTCAGTTAGAGGGAGCCTCTGCCTTCTTCCATGCATCATAGAGTCACTTCTGTTGTTGCGTGGATCGATAGTTTATTCTTTGTCACTGCTGAGCAGTGTTTCTATTCTATGGATAGATTATAGTGTTTTTTTACCCATTCATCTGTGGATAGACATTTGAGTTGTTTCTGTTTTTATTTAAAATTTTGTGAAGATTTATTTATTTGAAAGGCAGAGTTGGTGGCGGAGAGAGAGAGAGGGGAAGAGACAGAGAGAGAAAGCTTCCATTCACTGGTCCACTCCCAAAATGGCCACAATGACTGGGGCTGAGCCAGGCTGAGGCCAGGAGCCAGGAGCTTCTCCAGGTCTCCCACGTGGGTACAGGGCCCAGGTGCAAGGACTTGGGCCATCTTCCGTTGCTTTCCCAGGCCATTAGCAGGGAGCTGGATCAAAAGTGGAGCAGCTAGGACTTGAACTGGCACCCATATGGGATGCTGGCACTGGCTTAACCCACTATGTCACAGTGCTGGCCCCATTTAATTTTAAATTTTAAAAAATTATATAAAAGCAAATTTCATGTATTACATATACACATTTTTAAGAGCATAGTGATATTTCCCAGCCTACCCTCCTTTTCTCCCTCCTTTTTCCCTTACTTTTCTTCCAATTTTTACATTGATATACTTTCAGTTTTCTTTATGATCACAAAATTAACCCTCCACTAAATACAGGATACAATAAGTAGTAAGTAGAAAATCCACTGTTCTTCAAGAATGTAGACAAGGGCTACAAACAATACTTACATCTCAAAATGTCAGTTTTGTTCATATACATTGCATTTCTTTGTACTCTATGTAAGTTACCACAGATCAGGGAAAGCGTATGTCATTTGTCTTTTTGGGACTGGTGTGTTTGTGGAAGAGCATTGATATGGCCCTGTGCTTTTATTGTTGGGTAGATACCTAGGAGTGCAATGGCTGCATCAGTGGTATCTATATGTTTTACCTTTTGAAATAACTGCTTTTCCTTCATAATAAATCTGTAGATATTTGAACACATCAGCAACAATTATGGTAGCTCTTTTAATTATTTAATTATTTATTTATTTGCAAGTTAGAGTTACAAAGAAAGAGGAAGAGACAGAGAGATCTTCCATCAGTTGGTTCACTCCCCAAATGGCTGCAACAGGCAGCACTGGGCCAGGCCGAAACTTCTTCCTGGTCTCCCACGTGGGTGGCAGGGGCCCAAGCAGTTGGGCCGTCATGCCACTGCTTTTCACAGGCCATTTTCAGAGAACTGGACTGGAAGGGGAGCAGCCAGGACATGCATCAGTGCCCACATGGGATGCTGGCATCACAGATGTGGCTTTACCTGGTATGCCACAATGCCAGCCCCTGTTTTAATCTTTCAGTTGGTTTTCCCTCCGCATTTTGGGCCTTATTTTACTTTTTTTTTTTTTTTTGTACTTGTGATACTTTTTGATTGGGTGCCACACAGGGTAAATTTCACCTTGTTGGTGCTGGGTGTTTTTGTATTTCTGTAAATATTCTTGAGGTCTGCTCTGGGATGCAGCTAGGATACTTGGAAGCCATTTGTCCTCCTGAAATATTTTCTGGATGCGTAAGATGGGATCTGTGCAGCGTTCTAGGACTGATGATCCACCACAGCTGAGGCGGGTCCTGCTGCGTGCTCTGCCACATGCCCCCTGGATTTCGAGGTGGCTGGTGTGGCTGGTGAGAACAGGGACTGTGAGTACTGTTAACACCCGTGATGCCTGTTCGGGGTGCTTTCCCTCAGTCACACATGGCCCTGATAACTACCTTCTGCATGTTCAAAGAGAACCAACCCTCTGAAAATCCCCGAGCTTCTCTGATTGCAAAGGTTTCCTTCTTTGGATGCTCTGCAGATTCTTCCTGAATTTTTCATGTCCAGTTCAAGTAATCCATGTGCTCAACTCGGAATCTGCCAGGGTGCTGTGTGATTTCTGTCCCCCTGTGGTATGGCTTGGCAGCCCTCTCTCTGGGTGTAATCAGCAGGAGCAGTTGTTGCAGCTACCTCATTTGTTTCCATCTCTTACAGATCTTTCATTACCAGATATCTGATATCTTAAATGACTTTTCCATTTTGTCCATTTTTTAGAAGTTATGTCATGTGAAAGGGTGGATCCGTTTCCTGTTGCTCCATCTTGTTTGCAAATAAGAGTTCAGGTTGGCTTCTTTTGTTTTTTATATTTCATTTTTATTTATTTGAAAGAGTGACAGAGAAAGAGGGGATTAGGCAGGGAAAGAGGAGGGAAGGGGGGGAATGGGGGGAGGAGAGAGAGATTGATTGAATGATTTACCATCTGCTGGTTCACTACCCAAACGGTTGCCCTGAACTCCATCCAGGTCTCCCACGTGGCAGGGGATGGCAGGGATCCAAGTACTTGGACAAGTTCTGTTGCTTTCCCAGGCACACCAGCAGGGAGCCGTCTGGGCTGCAGAGCAGTGGGACTTAAAGCAGTGCACTCATCCGGGCTGCTGGCGTTGCCGGAGGAGGCGTGATGCCACAGCACTGGCCCTCAGCTTGTCTCCTAAAGGAGGCTCAGGTCCTTATTCCCTTTCTCAGTGAGAACTCATTTTCCATGTCACTGGGTGTTTATGTGGCTCCAGGCACAATGTATTCTAAAATCTTTAGTTTCCAGGTCTGTAAAATGTGCCACTTCTGTGGATTAGAATTGTTTTGAGAATTAAGCTAGAAGCATATAAATAAAGCACCTTTATCTTGGTGAACAGTTTTCTGTTTTAGTTTTGATAAACTACAGTTTAATTTGGGAGATCTATTTAGTTTCGTATTTGACCAGTTTTAAGCCATCCTGTTCTGATGGTTTTACAGTTCTACATTTTATTGCCTGACTATAATAGTATGAAAAGTTTCTTACTGGTGATTCACTCTGATGAAAATGGAGATTATTTCTTAATGTTCATTTATTTTTAACTCATCATTGCCACCACTTCATGTACGTTACAGATGTTAAGTGTAATATTTTTCAAAAACATATACTTTGCCTTTATTAATGTCCTTATGAATTGTTGTTATGAATGAAAGTTTACATGGTTGCTTCACTGTGTCAGTACCCAAAGTTTAATTGTTCAGGACTTCCTCTCGTTGGAGGTTTTGTTGAGCACTTACTAGCTCTGTGCTGGTCCTGGATTGTTGTTGTGGGTTTCGTTGTGAACCAGGGTCCACCTTAAACCTGCAGATCAGTTACGCCCATTGCCTTCACCACATCTGCCCTTTACCACTCTCACCTTTACTGCCACATTTTTGGTTTAATTTCTTGGGTGGTTTTTTCCCATAGAAATGCTCATTTTATTGCATTGTGTAGACCGTAAAGTTATCCCTGGAAGAGATAAGTTTGTTTTCTAATTTTCTACCCAAGAAGAACTTGCTGCTGTGGGTATCTAGTAGGCATTCAACAAATGCTGTTGAGTGAAATACTTACGTTTGGTGCCATACATGTTTTTAATGCAGATTAATTGTAATTGTTGACATCTTCCTAAAAGTTGTTAGCATACATAATTATTTTAGTGCACTTTAATTATAGTTGTTAAATGTAAGGCAGCATGGTATGTAGCTCTACATTTGTAGTTATTGAAATTAAACACGATTTCTTCAGGAACTCATTTTTAAAAATAACTGTTTAAGTTACAGATTTTCCACAGTGATTCTGTATGTATTTGTATAACTGATTAATGCCAGGTGATTTCACTGTGTGTAAAGCGAATGCTTATGTTCAGAGAAACTACAAGCTTCTTAAATACTTAGAGCTGTTTTTTTGCTCTTTAAGACAGTAAAAAATGTTTGTGAGATATTATATGCCTTATTCCCTTTGGTGTCTTGTGGCTGAAACATATTAAGGGTTTCATACTTCCTCAAAACTTGCAAATTCTAAGATATTTTATATTGATTATGACTTTAATGAGGATTTTAGCTTAATTGAACAGAAATCCTTTAAGGTCAGAAAGTTAACAAGATGTCTATAAAACTTTATAGTTTTGAGCTTAATTTGTGCTAAAACTTGTTTTTGTTTTAATTCCTTAGCTAGTCAGGGCCTATGATTCTTAATAGTGTGGTTCCTTTGTGAAATTTCTCAGGGTCAGATGTAGGTACAGTAATTGATTCCATTTATCCAACTTCTGATAAAAAGACTGACACATTAATTTTTTTTTCTTTTTCTATCTTAAAACTTTTTTTTGGTGCTTTTCTATTGTAACTTCAGTATACCTCATACCCAGTTTCAAAGTGCAAAGAGAGCTGCAGAGAAACACCACATGTAGTTGATGATAACAGAATACATTTTGGAATAGATAATGGGATAATTACGTATCTGAAAAGACTGTATGAATTTCCTATTGGAGATTAATTTTACTAGTTTTGTTGTTGTTTGTGTTTTCTCGTTGTGTTGACAGGGTTGCTTTAGACACTCTTGCTGCATTGCTAAAATCAAGTAAGTTTTTAAATACTAGAAATACTAGATACTATGTTTCTGAGCATTCTGTTTACTGTATTAAAGAAACTGGAAATGTAGATTCAGTTTATGGTAATATAGCTGGTTCCTAATATTCTAATGTCAAAGTTGATTTTACATTCCAGTGCAGTTGATACGTGTCATAACTACTGTCATGATTGCTGAGCTTTGATTCGTTTAGCATATTTATATGTTATTCAAGCACATTTATTTCACATTTCTAAGTTATTAGCATAAGCATATAACCCTGTTAGTAGAGGAAAATATATAACTGTATATGTATCTTTAAAAAGTGAAGCTAGCAGGATATTGAGAACTTTTACTATGAGAAATATCTTGAACAATTACTGTCTATTTAACCTATGATTTTAACTTAGAACCTTATTAGAAATGTTGTTTATACATTTATTTGTAAATACAAATTTATAAGTTTTTGACAAGTTGACTATTACTGTCAGTTTAATAAACTTACAAAATACAGCACTGTTCTCTTTATCTTCAGAACTGAAGCACTGAAGTAGATAATCTTATGTTTTTTGAGAGTGATTTACATCTATGCATTTTTCCAAGATACTTAGTATCTATTTTAAATATTGGTTTTCATAAGTACTCCTTTGGCCATTAGTTAACATTTTGTTTAACCACAGTAAGATAACATTTAGGCTTCAGGATTTATGTCGATGATTTGCCTGTGGTCCCTACTCTCCCAGGAGAGTGACATAGTAGGTAGGGAGTTCATCAAAAACTCTCAATGGTGAGACCAGCTTTGCCTGAAGTTTGAGTCACCAAAATTTTTTGAATGGTAGCATATGATTAATTTGTTGGAATCTGATATTTGATTAACTAATGGCTTATTAAATCCTTAAAATTACAAATTAAAATGGAAAAATTTAAATTTTAAAACATCTTAAAATTTTTAAAATTTAAAAATTTTTAAATTAAAAATTTCACCTTGGTATTAGTGTTATATTCCAGAGTTCTCATGTAATAATTTTATTCTTGAAGTGAAATAAGTGTATGGTATTCAGACTAGCCATATTCTAATTTATATCGTGATAAACTTTAGACAAACATCATGAGACGAATAACCTTCGCTTTGATATGTCCTGTGTGGTTCAAACTGTAAAGATTATTCTTAAATTGGTATGGACATATACTTTTAAGTTGCAGTGGCCTAGAACAGCTGTTTAAACTCAACTTTTTGTAAAGCTTAAATTAATTTTCAGAATCACTGATGTCAAAGTCATTAATTCTCGGTCAAAACTAAGACTTTCAAAAGTTTCCTGTATTTTATGAGAGTCATTTAATCCAAGATGACTGAAATTGGCATTTTTAGTTTTCAATGGAAGTCTTTATTTTAATCCCTGCCTTTCTTCAAAGGATGGTGACCACACACACCTGTTGACTAAATCAGGCTTAAAAAAAAGAAACTGAGGAGTAGAATGACTTTTGTTTAACACATCTTTAAATCAGAAGTGGGCAACCTTTTTTCTGCCAAGGACCATTGTATATGTGTATATTTATATATGGTATTTGTGGGCCAGATGAATTTTTATCAACTTAAAAATTAGCCTGCTACAGATTTATTGAATTTTGAGTCCCATCTGCTGTTGTGATGACAGAACCGGAGCAAGTGGTTTTTCTGGTCTTATGTGACCATGGGCTGCGTGTCCCCACCTCTGCTTTAAATGACCCATGACACTAAATAATACGAAAATTTGATAAAACCAAAATAATTTCTAGTAGCACACCCCACAGATTTTACAGAGAACCATTGGCGTTTTGGAGCATTTTCATTTATTCAGAAAGAATTCCTTGTTCTGTGTGTGGGGGACAGCCTTGCTTAAAAAGGATAAAATCAGACTACTGATAAATGTGGTGAAGTGCAAAGCCAGGCAGGAGAATACATACACAGTCCAGAAAGATTGCCCGGTGGCCGTGGCTGGAGTGCAGGTTAGACGCTGCAACCTGAAGCTTAACCTGAGGAGTCTTTTAATTAGAGGAAACAAGAGGCATAGGCTGATCGGGAGGGAGTTTGGTGCCCTGAACACCTGCGTAAAAACCCCTTTACTGCCTGATTTAATTACACTTGCTGCGGATTGTGAGTGGCTCTGTTGACTTCCTTTAAGGTTCGTTCAGCATCTGGTCAAGTTTCTTACTTGATTTTTCATGAAGAATTTTAATTTTCCGACAAATACCAGTTAGGTTGTTGGGAATCCTGGCAGAAGCACATAGAGTCTGTAATAGGGTGATGGTAATGGCTTATATGTTCTCATTGGTGTGAAAAGGTGTATGTTCATTTAAAATGCATGGAGTGTTAGTGGTCAGAACAGTGGGAACTGATTCTGGAGATAGCTGCAGCCTTAGCAAACTGTCTGTTGCTAAATGCAACAGAGAAAACTTCTGTCTCTGGTAAGTTTCTCCCACCCCTGTAGTGGCAGAACATAGTTCTGCAAGGGAATTAGTAAGTTTCTGTCAGTGTTATGTTTTAGCTATGTGTTAGCACGTTAGGGATTCTTACAGGGAACTAAGTTCAGTAGAGCCTTACTGTTGTTTGACCTTAGTGTCCATGCCATGATTGGGGGGACACTGACAGTTCAGCTTGAGATTGAGAGGAGATTAGTATTTCCTTGCGACTGCCCAACCTCAGCCAGGTTGGTATTCCAGTCTCTGTGCTGCTTGCACTCAGCTCTCTACAGCAGTGCCAGCTGACTTGGTCTCTTGGTACATTGTTCTGGGGTATGATTCCCATGCTGCTGTCTTAGTAGATGCACTCTTTTGGTTATTAATGGTAAATATTAATACTTTAACAATAATCAAATTAGGTCAACTCCAGTTAAATTGGCTGTTTCCGAAAAAAGTATGAAATTTTTGTTATATTAAAAGCTTTAATGACTAGAAAGCCCTATTTTCCAATCATGTAATGCTCCTTACCATTCATTTACTAAAAGATAATGTAAGTTTTTTCAATTTAGTATTGTGGTATCATAGATACTTGTGTGGTAATTAGAGGAGTAATTGCAGCAATGAATTTTACTAAAAACACAAAGTTTGCCATAGGAGGTACAAGCCAGTGGAGCTAGTGGGAACCCAGTGTTTGTAATTGAAGTTAGAAAAAACGATGATGGCTTTTCACAAATTCATATTCACAGCCAGAAAATTAAAGATTGATTTATTATATTTGTGTATTTTAAATCAGAGTTTTAAAGTACGTGAAGCTTTTGTTAGTGTTAACATTTAAAAAGATGTAGCCCCATTTTAGTAGTGAGATTTTTGGTATTTATAAATCACAAAACAATATAGGGGCAGGTTTTGAAAAATGTTGTAATTGTCCTTCTAGAAATTGTCATATTTATTTTATTAGGAAAAAAACCTTAAATTTATGATTAGTAATTTTCTGGGAAAAAAAAAGAAGTGTAAGAATTCACCACCATATTGAGGTTTATGTTTGTAATGTGATTTCTTCTACCATTTTCTCTTGTTATTTAAAATATATTCTTTCTCAATTTTCTTTTGTTAAAGAAACAAATGCCAGGAGAGCTGTAGACAGAGGATATGTCCAAGTGCTTTTAACAATTTATATAGATTGGCACCGCCATGATAATCGGCATAGAAACATGCTCATTCGAAAAGGAATTTTACAGAGCTTAAAAAGTGTTACAAACATCAAGTTGGGAAGAAAAGCATTTATTGATGCCAATGGGATGAAAGTTTTGTATAACACTTCACAAGTGAGTTATTACTTCCTGTTGTTTTGATGTACTAATTACATGATTTGATTTTTAAGAAAAGTGAATTTGTGCACAAACGCTCAAAAACGTGTGTGTGTGTGTATATATATATATATATGAAAGATGTATTTTAAAAACGTAAAACTAAAAAACAGTCATTTTTCCTGTGTGACCCTTGACTGAGTGGGAGAATTGCACTGTGTGGTTTTGCCCCCCAGTATAAAAGGAAGGTGTATAAATCACCCACTGTGCTGGCAGGGTTTCCAGAGAGCCATGTTTGCTAGGATGTTTAGTTGACCCTACTCAGATTTTCAGTGCTTCCTCAGTGACTTGTGATGTAAAAGATGGTACTGATTCCTGCTTAGGTAAAAGGCTTAGGGACAAGTCCGACTAGATTTGCCACAGCAGAGTGTGACCTAGAAGTACATACTTGAGAATAGTAAAGCTGCTGTATAACCACCCTGTATTGCAGTATGGGTTTTTGTGATATTTGTCTCTAGAAGATTACTAGTGGATTTCTCTCTGAAGTACTGTAAAGTTGCCTCATTACCCACCAGAGGCATTCTGTTTTATTTATTCATTTTCTCCTCTCCTGAGAAACAGGAATGCTTGGCAGTCAGGACTCTGGATCCTCTTGTCAACACCTCCAGTCTGATAATGAGGAAATGCTTCCCGAAAAATCGCCTGCCACTGCCAACGATTAAAAGTTCTTTCCATTTCCAGTTGCCAGTTGTTCCTGTGACCGGTCCCGTGGCCCAGCTGTACAATTTGCCCCCTGAAGGTAGGAGCCAGGGTTACTGCTGACTCGGATTACCTGTTGGAATTGTGCAATTTTGTTGATGGCTTTCTTTTGAAACTTGTGTCCACGTCCTCAGCGAAAGAAGACCCTAATGAACATGACAAATGTTCATGTTTTATCTTAGTTATTAGAGACTTTTGCAAATATAAGGACTCTAAACCTAGTAATTGAGTGACATACTGTGGGTTGTGTTGCATGTATGTACATGTGAATTCTGAGAAATTTCAAGCCTCACGTAAGAACATTATTTGATAGTTCATATACATTTTCAAAGAATGTAAATATTAAATGGGTAATTATGGATAGCTTTACAGTTGTAGCTTTTTTATGAACTTTTTTCCTAAGTTATAAGAACCTAATCAAAATTATTATGGTTTATGATGAACGAAACTTGCACATGACTTCCTGGGATGAAAATATGAAATTATATTAGAGGCAGGCTGTTGTTTTCTATGTAATGCTTATATGTATAGGAAAGAAAGACTTTCAGTTTCTTAATGTGGGGAGAAAAGGATGTTTTTCTTGAGATCTAGAAAAGGGAAAGTAGTCTAGTAATAAAGTTTCTATATTATTTTCTTGCCAGTTGACCATGTTTCTGAAAACAACTGAAGGTCTATTATATTTAAAAACACTTATTTAAGATATATATTAGGAATTTTCATATAATTTTAGTTGTATTATCCTTAATACTAGTTTGTTAATGATAAATCTCAAGGCACACTATTATGATTTTATTTCTAAAATATTTAATTGTTAAAACATATTTAATTGACATAAAAATATCAAACTGCAGTATTCGGAAATCACTTTTAAGCAGTTTGAAAGCATAGCATTAAGTTAGGGACTTCTGCATCAGATAGCTAAGTGAAACATTGGTCTGCCTCCTTCAGATTGCATTTGAAATTACCAACAGATTTTTCAAATAGTGAAAAAAATCTGTATCAAATTTGAGAACTAGGTAAGCGAGGCATCCTCATGGAACAAACACATAACATGCAAACATACTCGGAATATACACAGGCATATTAAGGAAGACATCAAGTCTCTACCTCTCCTTCCCTGAAATGCCATGTCTCTGGCTCCATGTTGAGGTACCATTAGCACCTGATATTGAGGGACAGTCAAGGAGTAGTTGGAATCTTTTTCTCCCCTGTATCTCAACATAGGGTAAGGAAATTTTATTCTGGGGCCTTAAGTGGGTGATTCTAGGTGGCAGGAAGCTGCTGAGGCCCTGTGATACAGCAGGTAGTGACACCGGGAGCGAGGTAGGATATATCCCATGCTGTTCTTTATTCAGTGGCCAGATTGATGGATAGGATTCACCAGACACGGGGGAAATGAGAGAGATGATACTTTTCTGCTGATTTCTTTGCTCCTCAGACTTGATGAATCGCTGAACTAGAAATGCAGATTTCCACTGATGAGCTGGCAAGCCTTCATCATTCAGATGTGAGGGAGATCTCTGATAGTACCTGTGTCGGCACAGGAAAATACCTTCTCTCTGTTCACGGTTATTTTCTCATGTTTCAGCCTTTGTTACATTGTCACCATCTTTATTTATTTATTTATTTGCTTATTTACCTTCCTCAGCTCAAATATAAATTCCATGAGGATAGATCTGAGCTTTTTTCCCTCACTTTACTGACACCAATTTCTTACCATTACTCACATCAACATACCACCAATTCCCCAACTCACACTACCAATTCCCCAACTCACACCACCAATTCCCCAACTCACACCAAATGAATATTCTGCAGTTTGGTTCAGTTATGACACCAGTGACCCGGAGTTAGCACAAACCCCACTAGCTAAGGAAGGGCTCAGTCCCAGAAGATTAAGCCCTCTTCAGATGCCAATTAGTCTGAGCCTCCTGTAATTCTGCCTGGCTATGAAATTGGTAGTGGAGAGCAGTTTTCAGGGTTGATAATTCGCTAGAATGGCTCCCAGAACTCAGGGGCACCATTTACATACATGTCCTGGTTTAATGCAAAGGATGCAACTCAAGAGCAGCTATGAGGAAGAGGTGTGCAGGGACAGATGTGGGGGAACAGGCAGGGTGCTTTCCTGGCCTCTGCAGGCATACTGCCCTAGTACCGCCATGGTTCACCAGCCCAGAAGCTCTCTCAGCCCCACTGGAGCCAAAGAAAACCAACGGTTTTTAATGGAGGTCCTGTTACCTAGGCATCATTGATCCAGTCATTGACTGTTGGTAAGTGATTCAGTCTCCAGGCCCTCTCTCTTACTCACATGTTGAGGAATGGGGCTGAAGTTCCAACCCCTGGTCTTTCTAGCCACTAGCCTGTATCCTGAGGCTAAAAGTCACCTCATTAGAACAAAAGACACTCCTGCCCCAAGAGAGTTAGGAGTCTGTGCCATGAACCAGGGACAAAGCGAATCTGTGTGTGTTAGAGAGAATGAAGAGATGAGATCAACAGAGAGTGAGAGCTCCGATGTGGTGGTTCACTTGCCAAATGCCTGCAGCAGCTGGACCTGGACTGAGGCCGACTTTAGGAACCAGGAACTCAATCTAGGTCACTTCTGTGTGCTGTGTGTGGCAGGGCCTCAGCTACTTGAAGTGTCATTGGTGCCTCCAAGGGGCTGTGTTGGAAGTTAGAACTGCAAGCCAGAGCTGGGACTCTAACCCAGGCACTCCAGAATGGGGGGTTGGCGTTTTAACCCAGTGTTAACCACTGCCTGCCCCTGCAGAATAGGACTGTTGTGTCTTGTCTTCGTTTTATCTGTAGCATCCATTAGAGTCCAGTGGACACAGTAAGAATGTATTTAGTATTTGTTGAATGAATAGAGCTGACCTCAGGCCTTCTCTCTTCCAATTATTAAATGTCAAAAGATAGTGAAGCAGCGTCTATGGAGCTTTGGAGAAAAGGATCTCTGACCCAAGAGTCTGAGGCCTATTCATTGCCATGATCTGTGAAGGGGATGGATTCCTAGGTGTGTGCTTGCCCAGGGCCCCTTCCTGACGCAATTACGTGGTGTATTGCGCCATCCAGTCAGGTGATGAGCTAAAGATGTCAGATGTCAAGAATGCAGAAGACATGGAAGAGCAATTGTATTAATTAAATTTTAATTAAAATATTAAACATTGACTACACAATACTAAATAGATGGCTGTACTACTATGAAACATATCAACTGATTCTTGGCGAAAGATAGATAAGACATAGTTACCATAAACTGGAACTTTTACTTAAATAAACCAAAGTTTAGAGATGGAAAAGTAATAGGGATCCTTAGAATGGGGTAATTGAGCCTTAGGAATGCATGGGTGGGCTTCAGAGACTGAACACTTTGAATTTCTGTGTAAAATTATGGTTTTTTTTCCTCCTTGGAAAAACTTGTTGAAGGCTAAAGGGAAGGAAATTTCAAAGATTACAGTTAAAAAAAAAAACTGTAAAGTGCTCAACAAAGCAAGGACAAGCATATCCACTTTAGTAATAATAAACCTAAGTAACGAAGGAAACCTATTAAAAGGAAGTCTGGGGAGCCGGCGCTATTGTCTAGAAAGTAAAGCCACCTGCTGGGACACTGGTATCCTATATGGGCACCGCTTCTAGTCCTAGCTGCTCTACTCTGAGCCAGCTCCCTGCTGGTGGCCTGGGAAGGGCAGTGGAGGTGGCCCCTGCCACCCACGTGGGAGACCTGGCCAAGGCTCTTGGTTCCTGGCTTCAGCCTGGCCCTGCTCTGGCAGTTGTGGCCACCTGGAGAGTGAGCCGGCAGGTGGAAGATCCTTCTCTCTATCTCTCCTTCTATCTCTCTCTCTAACTCTGCCTTTTGGATAAATAAATATACCTTTGAAAACAAAGACTGGAGCAGGCATTGGGGTGCTACAGGTGCTACAGGATAAGCTGCTGCTTGTGACACCCACATCCCCTATTGGAGTGCCTGGTTCAAGTCCAGCTTCCTCCAAAGGCACCAGATGATGGCTTATGCTTGAGTCCCTGCCACATAGGGTGGAGACCTGGATGGAACTTCTGACTTCTGGCTCTGGCCTGTCCTAGCCCTGGCTATTGGAGACATTTTGGTAGTAAACCAATGGATGGAAGATCATTCTCCCTCTCTCTCTCTTTCCCTCTCTGCCTTTCAGAGAAATCTTAAAAAAAAAAAAAAAAAAAAGTGTTCTCAGACTGGGTTAAAAAACAAAATACAAAGCACATCTAGCTGATACATACTGGAGACTCCTAGGGTGGAAAGCTTGAATGTGCACAGAATGGCAAATATCTGTCATCTGTCATCTCCACTTACAGGCAAGGAAGACAGTGTTACTAGTCACAAAATGTAAATCAGAACCAAAACAGTGTAAGACAGCAAAGATGACTTTATATGAGATAGATGATGCTGTGCTAAAGAATATGTCAAAATGTATTAAGCTGCAATCATTTGAATCGCAAGGAGAAATGGATAGAAACACATCAGTAGTGGGTGATTTTAATATACCTCTAAACTCTTGGCAAATAAATAGAGATTACATCAATCTATGTGGCTGCTGAAGATAACTCCTAATATATTTGAATATATAATTGAAATGGACAGTATTTTAGGACAATGTTGGCTAAGTAAAATTAAATAGTAAAAAACATGACTCTGCAGTCAAATTTTTTCAATGAAGACACCAAAGTATTAATGACGTCATAGGTTAGTTCTCTCAACTTTCAAGAAATTTTCCTATGCTTTATTTTCCAGAGCATAGAAAAAAAAGCAAAGTTTGGAAGCTAGAATGATGTTGAAAACAAAACCTGGTAAGAATAACTTGAAACCACCTACAGATTAATGTCAGTCATCAAAATAAATGTCAAAAATCCTAAAACATTAGCAAATTGACTTAAGTATTTTCATGTCTAGGGCACCTTGAACAAGTAAGAATTATTTTTGAGAAAATAAGTTGACTGTAACATTAAGATTTAAATAAAATTTATTATCAGTAAATCCAGAGAAGAAAACCAAGCTATTACTTCAGTGAATGCCATGAAGAGATTGCATGAAAGTCCTATAGTACCAGATAAAATTTCTTAAGGAAACCAGAACTATTTTCTAAATAATCTGAGTACTACCTAACTTAAATCTGTAACTGACCTGGCAAATAGTAAAGAAATGTTAGAGGGTGCCTTCTCAACCATTTTTGTTTAACATAATTTTGAAAACTGTAGCTAAAATCAGTAAGTGAGGGATAAGAAAGGTCCTTAACCATTAAAAAAGTGAGATAAATGTATTAATATCTGTAGAATACATTACTGTCTATATGGAAAATCCAAGGAATTAGTTGTAAAACATGGCTTATATAAAACTTCAGTGAAATGCTAGTTGGAAGAAAATGACAAAACTGTTGCATATGCACAGCCTGTTGCAAACAGAAAAATACACACAGGCACACACACAAACACACACACACGTACTATATAGGCTGTCCACTATAAAGGGAAGTAGATACAAGAGTGATAGCAACAACACAGCAGTCCTCCTGGAACATACTTTCCAAATCATTGCCAGAAAGTGCTGACTCATTCCTTTTAGAGGTTAAATCGTAGAGATACAGTGCAGTTTACCCAGCTAGTTTCCTACTGATAGACGTTTAAGTTGTTTCCTCGATTTCCATTTTTGTGATGAATGAGCCAAGGACATTTTGAAACTTAATAACCAGAATACTTATTTACATGCCCTGGTTTAAATTGTATGATTAAACCATAATATTGTTAAATATTGGTAATAGTATAAGAATAGATCTTTGGAATAGAAGACATGGTCTGAGACTCACTAAGCTGCATGGTATTTCACATATGGAGTTTAAACCCAAAGAAAAGTACCACATAGCGGAAAATATTTGGAAGGTTTGACTGAAAATTAAAATTGTCTTTTCTCTCTTTGACTCTGAAATGCATTGTCCCCTCTTGTCTATTCTAGCAGTCATTTTTTTCCCCCACTTGGAATAGATTTTTCTCAATTCATTCCCTTTCTTTTTTCTTGAGACTTCTTTAGTTGTCTCTTTCTCCAGTGTCAGCTTTTCCCCCGTTTGTCCCTGACCGGTGCTGTTAGGGCATACACACAAGTAGTCCCAGTAATGCAGTGCTACCTATTTTTGCTACCTATTTCCAAAAGGAAGTGGAGACAATTTGTTGCCTGTCTCAGGAGAGACAGAGCTGACCCAGTAGCACAGTCACCAGACAACAGTAATGATAAACGTGTTAATATTCCTACTCTTTATTTGCCTGGCACTTTTCTAACCCCTTTAATGTGTAGATATCTCCATTTTATAGATGAAGAAACGAAGACAGGAAGAACTTCGGTAACTTGCTTAATTAAGGTCAGTCAGTAAGTGGGGAGCCAGGATTTAAGTTAGGATATTCTGTCTCCAGAGTCCATGTGCTGCACTTCAGGAGATAGAAGTTGTGTGGGTTTGTTTTTTTTTCCCCTTACATAGCCAACGAGAAAATAGACCATCCCTGGCTGTAGACCTCTGTCCCTCTAAGTCATCAAGGGCAATAGGTGTTTTTCCATCATCTCCTACGGTGGCCTCCTATGTGCATGTGGAAAACGGAGAGTGTCATTTTCTGTTTCGATATATTGTGGCCTGGAATCTCTTCACCACTGTACTTCATGTACCCCCCTGGCCAAAAACTGGATGTGTGTGTGTGGGAGGCTGGACTCAGTGAAGGGCACTGTCGCTGAAAGGAAGGGGAGGAGAGTGCATCCTACTGGGACAGTTGATAATCCTTGCCCTTCAGTACACCGGAAGTAGAAGTAAGAGAGTTTGGAAAAGTATCTTTTCAACATATTTCTTACTTTGCGAAAGGCACTGTTAAATGAGAAGCCTGTAAGTCCTGCCCTGCTTCCCTGTCTCCTGCACGCCCGCTGCCCGTGACCTTGTCCCTCCCATTTCCCGAGTTTTTCCATCATGTTCATTCTTGTTACTCCCGTCTTCATTCTTGTTACTTCCTTCACTCTTGTTACTCCGTCTTGGTCCAGACACTTACTATTTTTCCCTCTTTTAGTTACGGTCTGCCTCCACCACGTGCCTGCTCTCTCATTCCTGCCAGGGCGCTGTTTGGAAAATGCAAGTTGAATTCAGTCCTTCTCCTCTTGAAAACCCTCAGCGTTTATCTTGCACAGGATAAAATCCAATCTGCTTGGCCTGCTGCATTCTGGCCTTTCTTTCGCTCCTACTTGGCCTGTCAGCACTTTCCTGAGTGACCTGTGCCTGCCAGTCGAACTCAGCCTCAGCATCCCAAAGACAGCTTTTCATGGGCTTTTTTTCCCATTATTGCTTCTTCTGAAAAGTCACACTCACCTTTATAGTGACATAGAAGCCTCAGGTGATGCTTATCTCTTCTGTGACTATTACCTGTTTGATGAAGTGATTGGAGATCAAGTCCTTGGCCCCAGCAATCTGCAATTAGTTATTGCCTTCCTAGTTTTCCTGTGTTTTGGAGTGTAGGTCTTCATTACTATTTCTCTTTTGTATTCTCATGACTTGTTTCCTCCTCCTCTTTAACCTTTGAGTTCCCAGAGGTCAGACTGAAGCATCTTAAAAAGAAACCTAGAGAAAAGAATGCCCCTCCTGGAGCACAGGGTCCTCATCGAAACAAATGGGTGGGCGGTGATTGTGAAAGGAGAAAGTCTGAGTCACTGAAATTGATCATAAATAGAAAACAGGGTGTTTCCTTCAGGCTGTTATAGTGAAGGCATTATTGCCTCTTAAAAACAGAGAACACAGATCTTACAGCATTTCCAACATGTCTCATGGGTTTTCAGCAGCAGGCTAGCTGTAGAGCTCTTTTAATACAAAATCTTACTCGCTTTTCCTTGGGCGATTACGTTAGTTTCTATATAACGTTCTCCCTTTGATGTGCATGTTGTCGAGTGCTTACCTCTGACCTACTTATAGCACGTTTTGTATCACAGTGGATGACGTAGTAGATGAAAGTGATGACAACGATGATATTGATTTAGAAGCTGAAACTGAAAATGAAAACGAAGATGACCCAGATGAGAATTTCAAGGTTAGTAAACTTCTAATCTTTAGTTACCTGTATGAGTTATGTACTAGAGTTGTGGCAGAGGCCTTTGTCTTTGAATTAGACTTATTTCTAACTGACATGATTGACGTCATGGGAGAAGCCTTCCCGAGGTCAGAAGAAAGAGGGAGGCATTGGTTCTGGGAATGAAGTGTGGTTGTTCCCTGTTTGCCTGTGAGTGCTTCCACCTGTCCCTGTCTGCTTGTACACAGCTTTTCAGCTTCTGCCTGTTAGCGCAGAGCAATGGTGCTAACCCTTGTCGGACGGCAGACGGCTCAGTATGTGTGTGGAAAGATCATCCTCAGTAACTACATTCTGTAGTATTGGGCCACCGTGTAGTGTTAGAACATCCAATCAGATGTATGCAGGTAAGGGAGACAAAGAGGCTAAATCCACAGTTAAGGGAAAACCTTCTTTGTTCAGGGCTCAGGCTTTGGGATAGGAAATTCCACCTGGGCCTTATGCTGCCATAATAAAGACTACTTCCTGTCACAAGGCCTTGGTGTCTTGTCTCAGTACAGGAATCCTGCTATACAAGGACATACTTTTCCTTTTAATGTACCTTCTTCTTTCCTAGTGGGGCATGGAAATCATTCCTGACTGTTGTCCAGGGTTTATTTTTTTTCCCCCTGAAAAACAGAGTGGATGCTGACAGTTTTCTAAGGGCTTTATTTGCCATGAAGTGTAGGAGTGTGATGCTCATCAGTTTTCACAGGTGGTGCATCCCCCTGGCTGGCAGTGTATGCCCTGGGGTCACCCTCAGTGTCCTGGCTCCTGTCCCTGCAGGGTGTATCGTTTTAAGCAAGCTGCTTCTCTGTATCTCTTCTTTTTGTTAAGTTGCATGGAGGTAATGATGCTATATCTTCATTGTTCTTATGTAGATTAATTTAGATAATACAGTGCTTAGCATAATGCTTCATATATTTCAGTGCAGAGTAAGTCTTAGCTGTTTTGATCACCACCATCATACATACACTTTTTTTTCAGTTTAGTTTTCTTCAGTTGTACTGAGCAAAAATAATGCCAGTTAGGGGGATTGAGAACACATGTTAGTCTTAATCTTGACACAGGTAGTTCTCTTGAAGAGCCAGCTATACTCTGATACTGGAATAACTGTGACCAGAACAATCATAAGAAAACAATCCAAAAATAATAAGCAGATTTGAATTTATGTTGAAATTAATGCTGTCTGTATTTGGTGGTCATCTCTAATTATGCTTAATTAGTAATTTGGGGCATTTTAACTCCACAATGTGTTTTGTAATTTTAATATTTTGTAAACTGGTGATATGCTCTTTTTATATTTCAGAATGATGATATTGAAACAGATATTAACAAACTAAAGCCCCAGCAAGAACCAGGACGAACAATTGAAGAACTAAAAATGTATGAACACCTTTTCCCTGAGCTTGTTGATGATTTTCAGGTATAAATATAGATAATTATAGATAATATAGAAATTTAATGTCTTCACTGATTTTAGTAAAAAAAATCTTTCTCTTTTTTTCTGTAATCATTATCTTTATTCTGTTCATTTCTAAAAAGTGAAACTAGTATTGCATTTCTGAGTGATGTTAAAATAATATACCACCATTCTGAACTCAGCAAGTTGCTTATCCATAAAATGAGAAGAAATGGGCTATTTTTGAACTTTTTTTCCACTTTGGTTCATCACTTTTAATTGATAACAGTTTTTTATTCTTTTTCTTAGTTCTTTAAAATGACATTTCAAAACCGTGTTTACAGCATTTTGTTACAGTCTTCCTGTATCATTAGTGTTTAAGGGGAGGTAGGACTAAAATGTGCTGAATTAAGAATAGAGTTGATGTATGTTAAGTTTTTTCCCTGGTAGTTTACTGTGTAACCATGAAGAGGGCTGGGGAGAGAGGGAAGATGACATTTTGAAGACTTTAAATCTAAATTGATTCACAGAAAGAATGGCTGTAAAATTTTATTTATTTATTTATGAGAGAGAGGGGACAGCAAGAACTTCCATCCACTGGTTCACACAGGGACTGGGCCAGGCTGAAGCAGGGAGCCAAGAACTCCATTCAGGTGTCGTATGTGGGTGGCAGGAGCCCAATTACTTGAGCTATCACGGCTGCCTTCCCGATTCTGCATCGGCAGGAGCTGGAGGCAGGTGCAAAACCTCTGTACTCCGGTATGGGATATGGGTGTTCCAACCAGTGTTTCAGCTGTCAGGACAGATGCTCAGTGCTCACAGCGGAGTGACTTCTCAGTAACGTTGCTTACCTTTGTTTATCAGTGTAATCACCCCCCTGGATCACACAGCAAGAACAGGTGAATTGATTGCTGTCAGTAGATCTAGTTCTTACTCCCACTCTGTTGCTGACTTGTGGTGGGCCCTTGGATAAGCCTGTGAAACTCCCCAGGACTTAAAGGGTAAAATAAAAAGTTAGAAGTAAATAATGTCAAGGATTTGTTTAGCCCTTCGTAAGCCCCTTTGCTTCCCAAATTCCATATTATGTAATCGCTACCTGTTTAAAGAAAAAGTCTTCAATATCCTCATATGCATATGAGAAATTAAAAAGAGAGGAGAGGGGGAACAGTTACCAGCCAGGGTCTCGCATTTTACAGTTCTAAGGTTCTAATTATTCGAGTTTCTCTTTGGGACCTTCTGAGCCTTAGATGTAGAAGAGGGAACAACTCCCCCCTCCTCTTGCCACTCCTTCCTTGGTACTCTCCGTAGACTTGAAGTATATATGAAGATACTTTGAAATCGGGGATGATAGAAAAGATGGCAGGACTGAAGGAGAAGCACTTTGTCTGGGGGAGGAAAAAAAGGGGGAAGGCGTGCGGCATTGTGGTGCAGTGGGTTAAAGCACATCTTGTAACACTGGCATCCCAGCTACTCTGCTTCTGATCCAGCTTCCTGGTGATGTGCTTGGGAAGGCAGGGGAAGATGGCCCAAGTGCATGGACCTCTGCTGCCCACGTGGGAGACCGGATGGAGTTCATGACTCTTGGTGCTGGCCTGGCCCAGCCCTGATCATTTGTAGCGTGCAGTAGTAGATGGGAGCTCTCTGTCCTCTGTCTTTCCCTCTCTCCCTTTCAAAGAAAGAGAAGTGGTCAGGGAGAAGGAAAAGCAGAAGGCAGAAGAGGTGTTTGGGATAGAATATAGGATCGTTTTCTTCCATTCAGCCTATAGCAGTTATCTGGGTACTCTTAACACGTTTGTGTCCAGCCAAAACTACAGAGATAAGACATACTGGTAAATCAAGGCAACAAATTTGGGGGGGAATTGATCATTATGTGAGCACTTCACCTACTCTCCGTTTCTGTGCATACAAGAAGTATATAGTATCGCAAATTACAGTTTTTACAAAAGACATTTGTTTGAAAGGCATAGTTAGAAAGAGAAAGGAGAGGGTGGGGGGGAGAGATTGATCTTCCATCTGCTGGTTTACTCCCCAAATGGCTGTAACAGCCAGGGCTGGTCCAGGCTGAGCAAGGATCCAGGATATTCTTCCAGGTCTCCCACATGGGTACAGGGGCCCAAGCATTTGGGCCATCCTCTGCTGCTTTCCCAGGTGAGTTAGAAAGGAGCTGGATGGGAAGTGGAACAGCCAGGTTTCGAACTGGTGGCCATATGGGATGCCTGCATCATAGGTGGCAGCTTTACCCACTCTGCCACAATGCCGGCCCCAAAAGTGATTTTTTTTTCAAGATTTATTTTATTTATTTGAAAGGCAGAGTTAGAGAGAGAGAGAGAGAGACAGAGAGAGAGAGAAAGGGGAGAGAGGAAGATGGAGGGAGTGAGAGAGAAAGAGAGAATATCTTCTATTTGCTGGTTCACTCCCCGTGGCCACAGCAGACAGGACCAAAGCCAGGAGCTTCTTCCAAGTCTCCCATGTGGTTGCAGGGGCCCAAGCACGTGGGCCATCTTCCACTGATTTCTCAGGTACATTAGCTGAAAGCTGGATCAGCAGTGGAGCAATTGGACTCAATCCAGAGCCCATATGGTACATTGGCATAGTAGGCAGCGACTTTATCTGCTATGCCACAATGCGATTATCAAGGTCTTTATGAAAGGACCTTGTGATTTGATTTTAAAGCTATGCTTATTTATTCATAGTCACAATTACAATTTTATTTGCTTTTTTTTTTTTTTTTGGACAGGCAGAGTTAGAGAGACAGAGAGGAAAGTCTTCCTTTTTCTGTTGGTTCACCCCCCAAATGGCCACTACAACCAGCACGCTACGCTGATCCAAAGCCAGGAGCCAGGTGCTTCCTCCTGGTCTCCCCATGTGGGTTCAGGGCCCAAGGACCTGGGACATCCTCCATTGCCCTCCTGGGCCACAGCAGAGAGCTGGACTGGCAGAGGAGCAACCGGGACAGAATCTGCCGCCCCAACCGGGACTAGAACCCTGGGTGCTGGTGCTGCCGGCAGAGGATTAGCCTAGTGAGCCGGGGCACTGGCCACTTATTTCTTGATGGCAGGGTATTGGAAATGTCAAAATTCTGCATTTTCACAGTTGTTTTTTTGTATATATCTGTGGTAGCGTGATGGCATTCACCATATGGATTTTGTATTCTTTTTTCTTTTTCCTCTCTTTTTAATTTTTTAAAAAGATTTATTTATTTAATTGAAAGAGTTACACAGAGAGAGAAGGAGAGGCTGAGAGAGAGAGAGGTTTTTCATCCAATGGTTCATGCTCCAATTGGCCACAGTGGCTGGAACTGTGCCAATCTGAAGCCAGGAGCCAAGAGCTTCTTCCAGGTCTCCCATGTGGGTGCAGGGGTCCAAGGACTTGGGCCACCTTCCACTGCTCTCCCAGGCCATAGCAGAGAGCTGGATTGGAAAAGGAGCAGCTGGGAGTAGAACTGGCGCCCATATGGGATGCTGGTGCAGCAGGTGGAGGATTAACCTGCTGCACCAAAGTGCTGGCCCCTGACGTATTCTGTATTATCTTGAAATTTTTGAGGCTTGTTTTGTTCTTGAATATATTCAGCCTTTTCTATGTTGTATAATCTTATGTGTTGGATAAATGTTGTGTGGCTGTTTTGAGGCACAGGTGTATGCATTGATTTATTAAACAAGATTGCTGATTATATCGGGAAGTTCTTTGCTATCCTAATGGATTTTTTTCTTATATCGATTACTGTGAAAAGTAGTTAAAAAGTGAAAACTATGTTAAGAATTTCTCGTGGTTGTGAATGTGTTTGTAGCTCTGTCAGTTTTTGTTGTAGACTTTGAGTCTTGTTTGTTCTGCATAAAATTGAATTGTGTTTTACTCCCTTTGGAATTGAACTTTTTATCATTATGAAATTATTATCTTTGTTTTTAAGATTTTAAGACAAAAAGCATTTTTAAAAATACTAATGTAGTCACATTAACCTTAATTATTTGCCTGATGTCTTGGTAAGTCTTACTTTCAGCTTTGCAGTATCCTTGGCTGCTTTACACATCTTTGGATGTGTGTTTTTTAAAAGCATGTAGTTGGGTTTTTAAAAAATTGAGTCTGAGTTTTGTCAAGTATCTGGAACATTTAGATGATTTACATACTATTCGTACATTTAGAATTATGTGTAGGAGAACTTATTTTGATTTTCATTTGTTTTGCCTTCATTTCAATTTTTTTTCTTTTTAAAGATTTATTTGAAAGGCAGAATTAGAGGGGGAAGACACACACACATGCACGCGCGCGCACACACACACACACCTCTTCCAATCTGCTGGTTTACCTCCCAAATGGCTGCAACAGGCAGGTCAAAGCCAGGAGCCTGGAACTGCCGTGAGAGTGGCAGGGACGCAAGCTCTTAGGTCATTCTCCACTGCTTTCCTAGGTGCATTGCAGGGAGCTGGACCGGAAGTGGAGCAGCTGGGACTTGAATTGGTGTCTATTTGAGATCCTGATGTTACAGTTGGTGGCTTAACATGCTGTACCACAACTCTAGCCCCTGTGTTTTCCTTATTCAGTTCAAATTTTTTTGTTTTACCACAAGTTTGAAAGCTACATATTTTTGTTATTTTTAACTTAATTAAGTTTTTGGAGGTACAGTTTATGTATAATAAGCTGCATCATTGAATGCATAAGCTTGAGTGTAGACATATGTGCACAATTTTTAGTTACTCTTGATATTCTAACATACAAGGAGTCTCAGAGTTTATGGGAAAAAGTAGAATTAAGAATGACTTTATTTTGGTATAAAATTTTGAAATCACTGTACTTTTTTTTTCATATTATGTGTTTTTTTCATGAACTTTTTGGAGACCTCTTGTTGGCATGGATTTCAAATTTTTTTTTGTTTCAAAATAAACTTATTTTTGGGGCCAGCGCTGTGGCGGAGCAGGTAAAGCCACCGCCTGCAGTGCTAGCAACTCATATGGGTGCCGGTTCGAGTCCCGGCTGCTCTACTTCTGATCCAGCTTTCTGCTGTCGCCTGGGAAAGCAGTGGAAGTTGGCCCAAGCCCTTGGGCCCCTGCACCCACGTGGGTGACCTGGAAGAAGCTCCTGTCTCCTCGCTTCGGATCAGCTCAACTCCAGCTGTTGTGGCCATTTGGGGAGTGAACCAGCAGATAGCAGACCTTTCTCTCTTTCTCTGCCTCTCCTTCTCTCTGTGTAACTCTGACTTTCAAGTAAAATAAGTAAATCTTTTAAAAAAAAGTAAATAAACTTATTTTTAATTATATTTTCCTCAAGCATTTTGAAGTCTACTTCTGTTTACAACAGTCCGAAACATCAGGACCTTTCCTTCCCTTAGTGGTAAAGTAACTTAGAGGGGCGGGTGTGGCACAGAGGTACTTCCATCCCACGTTGGAGTCCTAGTTCCTCCGATTCTGATCCAGCTTCCTGCTAATGTGCGCCCTGGGATGCCACAGGTGATGGCTCAAGTACTTGGGTCCATTCACCTAGGTAGGAGGCCCAGACTCCTGGCTTCAACCTGGCCCAGCCCAGGGAAGTGAACTGGAAGAGGGAAGATCTCTGACTCTGCCTTATAAATAAAATGAAAATGTCACTAAAGATAATTAAAAAGGAAATAGAGAACTCTAATCACTTTCCACATCAATTTACATGCTTTTGGTTTATATTTTAACTCTAGCTTAGAAAAGCTATGATATTGGCCGGCGCCGTGGCTCAGTAGGCTAATGCTCCCCCTTGCGGCGCCGGCACACCGGGTTCTAGTCCCAGTCAGGGCACCGGATTCTTTCCCGGTTGCCCCTCTTCCAGGCCAGCTCTCTGCTGTGGCCCGGGAGTGCAGTGGAGGATGGCCCAAGTGCTTGGGCCCTGCACCCGCATGGGAGACCAGGAGAAGCACCTGGCTCCTGCCATCGGATCAGCGCGGTGCGCCGGCCGCAGCGTGCTGGCCACGGTGGCCATTGGAGGGTGAACCGACGGCAAAGGAAGACCTTTCTCTCTGTCTCTCTCTCTCACTGTCCACTCTGCCTGTCAAAAAATAAATAAATAAAGCTATGATATTACTGCTTTGTTTTTTATCTTCATTGTAGATGTATTCACATTCTTAATACCTTAAAATTTTCCTTTCTTCTTGTTTCTTAGAGTTTCTGTTTGTGATTATTTCCCCCAGGAATGATGCTTCTCTTTCTCTCTCTGAAAATACCTTTATTTCATAATCATTTTTGATAGTTGTTTTCCTTTTTCTCTGACTACTTTTTAAACATCATCTTTATTAAGGTCCAATTTAAATGCAATAAATTACATTTATTTAAAATTGCTGTTTTGATACATTTGTACAACTGTGTGACTGCTACCCCAATCAAGAGGTAAGATTGTTTTTATCATCCCCAGAAGTCTCCTTGGTTCCCTTCATGTCTCTTGTCTGGTCTCTATCACTGTAGAGTTTTGCCTATCCTAGAACTTCTTATAGATGGAATCCTTACTCTTGTCTAAGGCTTCTTTTGCTCAGCTGTGTTTTTGAGATTTTATCCATGGAATATATTCCAATTTCTTTATTCAGCTGTTGAGTATTAGAAAATTTATAGTTTCGTATTTTTATGAATAAAATTGATGCAACCATTTGTGTATAAAACTTTCGGTGGAAATACACCGTCTCTTCTCTCAGGTAAATAACTGAGTAGTATGTATGGTTAAGTGTGCTTTCACTTTATAAGAAACAATTTCTGGTGGTGCTTTAGATGACTTTGTTGTCTAGTGGTCTGCAGATGCCCGATAATGCTCACTGAGTTTGGCTTCTGTATGTTGTTTTTTCACAGAACTGGAAAATCTCTTTTTTGGTTACCTCTCATGCCCTTTGTTCTCTCTTCTTTTTGCAATTTGCATTGAATTTAGAACTTTTTACTCTCTTCCATGTTTGCTAACCTCTTCTACAAGCTTTTCATCTCTGTTTTTCTTTGCTGCATTCAGTTTATTGCATCAGAAATACACATTAGGCATTGAATTTTGATTACTTTTAGGTGGTTTAAAAATATGCTTTGTCAACCTTTAATTTCTTCAGCATTCTCCTATGCTAGCGCTCGTGTGCTGGTAGTTATCTCTTCCTGGAGTGCTGTCCACGTGTGTGGCGCCCTCTCCTGAAGTCTTTGCTTGTATCTCCTCTGTCCAGGGAGGCTCCCTAAACAGGGGGCATCAGAAGTTCAGAAATGCCACTCGCCTCCTCTTCCCTGGCATTCTCACCTTCTCCCTCCACCTTTTTAATTTTTTGTTTCCTGTGACACTTCACCTCTGGAATGTTCAGTAAGATGCATTTATATAATATTTGTCTCTTGTTGTATTGATGATCTTACCTCCTCCATAGCTATGACAAATGTCGTTTTTAGAAGAAAGAATTTCATATTGTTGTTTAAACTGATGTGTCTAGGTGTCTGATCAGTGCTTGGCACAAGGCAGATACTCCATAAATATTTTTCTGCTTTTCAAAAAGTTCCCTTGTTTCTGTGGTATATAAGCATTATTTTGTACATGAAAAGAAAATTGTTATGAATTTGTATTGTGGCTTAATATTTTGTTTTTCATTAGTGAAATGAAAAGATACTCTGTCTTGTCTATCTGTAAAGATTTCAAATGTTAGATTTCTGAAGCAGCATATAAAATGAATATGACCTTAGTTTTGCTAATATATTTTAATATTTGCAGTTAAAAGATTGAACTTTTTTTTTTTTTAAGGGCTATGATTTAATCTCCAGAGAACCAAAGCCTTTTGTGTTTGAGGGAAAGGTACGAGGTCCTATTGTTGTTCCTACGGCTGGAGAGGAGGCGTCTGGGAGTTCAGGCAGTTCGAGAAGAGGAGCTGCTGTGCAGGAGAATGTGTCACCTAGAGGAGAGGAAGGTGATAGGAAACCCGCCTCGATGGATGTTGCAAAAGAAGATACAAAAGACAGTGGCCGGACGCTACAGCCGCCTCTTGGTGATGAGAGCAGAACTGTTTCCTCAACCCATGGCTTGAACAATGACATCGTGAAGGCCTTGGACAGGATTACCTTGCAGAATATGCCTTCCCCAGCAGCCCCAGGGGTGAAGAAGGACTACAACCTCCCGCTCACTGTCCTCACGTGCACGAAAGTCTGTCCGCACGTGGCCACCTGTGGCAATGTCCTCTTCGAGGGAAGAACAGTTCAGTTCGGGAAGCTGTGCTGTGCGGGAGTTGAAACCGAAGACGATGAGGACACCGAGTCTAACTCCTCCGTGGAACAGGCGTCCGTTGAATTGCCGGACGGGCCAACACTCCATGACTCAGACCTCTATATCGAGATTGTGAAAAATACAAAGTCTGTCCCAGAATATTCAGAGGTGGCTTATCCTGATTATTTTGGTCACATTCCACCGCCCTTCAAAGAGCCAATTTTGGAAAGGCCTTATGGTGTACAAAGGTGAGTTGCAGGTTTCTTCCCCTTCTAAATAAGGTGAAATTGCTCTAAATTAAAGGTACTATGATTTTGCATCCTGCTTTGAAAATTTTGCATTGTGTTCAAACTGTCCTTGTGGGTGGAATTTATTTTCTAAGTTCCTTGTTTATTCAAATGAAGCCAGAATAGTAAACATGGCCATTTAATAATTTAGACATTTTCTGTTTAGACTGAATCTTAAAAGTATAAAAGTGGATTATTTAATGATCTTTGAGTAAATATTACCTTGGTAAATCATTTGAACTTGATTTAGGTATGTGATTTTTAAAATAGGAAAAGGAAAGAATATGGACAGTACTGTTTTCTTGTAAAATTGGACAAAATTTAAATTATGTTTTTATTTGAGAGACAGAGTCAGGGAGGCAGAGCCCCCATCAACTGGTTCATTTCCTGAATGCCTGTGACTGCCAGGGCTGGGCCAGGTTGGAGCTGGGGGCCTGGAATTCAGTCTGGGTTTCCTTCCTTGGCGGCAGGACTCAACTAATTCAGCCGTGACCTGTGCCTCCCAGGGTCTGTATTCGTGGGAAGCTGGAACCAGGAGTGGCGCTGGTGCTTGAAGCCAGCCACTCCTGTATGGGAAGTGAGTGTGTCTACTGGTGTCTTTACTGTTAGGTCAAATACCTGCCACAGATCCGGAATTTTAGGTGGAAATAGACAATGCAGGGGTGCCATCTTGTCTACAGAAGGCACTTCCTGAATTATAAGTGTTCTTTAAACCCTGAAAGCAGCTAAATTTCCTTATTACATTGCCTCAAACCGAAGGTGTCCTCTCCTCTTTCTAGCCTTACCAGCCTAGGGTTAGAACGGAGAGGACTGTGGGACAGTGATGGGACTTTTTTATGAGTCTTTGGTTTTCAGCCTTTTTTGTGTGTGTGTGTGACAGGCAGAGTTAGACAGTGAGAGAGAGAGACAGAGAGAGAGGTCTTCCTGCCATTGGTTCACCCCTCCAGTGGCCACCGCGGCCGACACGCTGTGCTGATCCGAAGCCAGGAGCCAGGCGCTTCCTCCTGGTCTCCCAAGCGGGTTCAGGGCCCAAGCACTTGGGCCATCCTTCACTGCATTCCCGGGCCACTGCAGGGAGCTGGCCTGGAAGAGGAGCAACCGGGACAGAACCAACGCCCCGACAAGGACTAGAACCCGGGGTGCTGGCGCTGCAGGCGGAGGATTAGCCTAGTGAGCTGCGGCACCAGCCTTTCAGCCTTAATTTTTTTTTTTTTTTTTTTTGACAGGCAGAGTTAGACAGTGAGAGAGAGAGAGACAGAGAGAAAGGTCCTCTTTCTGCTGGTTCACCCTCCAAGTGGCCACTGGCTGCCGTGCTATGGCCGGCTTTGCACTGATCCAAAGCCAGGAGCCAGGTGCTTCTCCTGGTCTCCCATGAGGTGCAGGGCCCAAGCACTTGGGCCATCCTCCACTGCCTTCCCCGGGCCACAGCAGAGAGCTGAACTGGAGGAGGAGCAACCGGGACAGAATCTGGCACCCCGACTGGGACTAGAACCCCGGGTGCTGGCACCGCAGGTGGAGGAATAGCCTAGTGAGCTGAGGTGCCAGCCCAGCCTTAATTTTAACCACTGAGAGTCCAGTCCTTTTTGTTTCCCATCATGGATCTCATGTTCTGAAAGCCTTCATCAACCAACTCTCTTAATACTATGCTAATTTATGTAAATTATGTTAATAAGGGACATAAGAGCTTCTAGAAGATTCCTTGCTCCACATTGGATAACCAGGGCCAACCCTGTTTGGGTGATACAGTCATCGACATGGAAGGAAACTTGGTGTTTTGCTAATGTAGCCTTACTGCGGGGAAGTGTGTGCTGGCCTGCAGTAGCTGGCAGACCACTGTGAGCCCTCAGGTGTCCTTCTGCGGAGGAGGAGCCCCTCCCGCAGACCTGTGAGCGTGCTCCTCTGAGCAGGTGCTCCTGATGGGCTTTGTTTGTCCTTGCCTGACCTGTGTTTCCCATGTGGCCCATGCTGCACTTCCTCCGTCCTCCGCTCGGGGCTTGTCCTGATGGCTGAGGAGTTTACAGAGACTGAGGATTACTGTCCCCTTCAGCAGCTCTTTCCTCACCTTGTCTCTGAAACACAGCTGTTAGAGTTCCCCTGCAAGGTCTGTTCCACAGATCAGAGTCCAGCTCTTCCCTCACATTGGGCCGCCTGTGGGACGTTTCCGGAAGTGACTGACTGTTGTTTAGCTGCGTGTGTACAGTGTCATGTACCACCAAGCTTGTCTGCTAGCCAAACTGAATCTTTAAGAAGACTTTGACACTGTGAGATGAACACTGTGAGGAAGGAGTTGGCGTGTGTGTTTTGAAGAAGGATGTGCTGATGTGCAAGTTAAAGTATAACAGAGAGGAAGCTCAAGGCAGCAAAAACACAGTCAGAAATCACCTGCTGGCCTGTGCTTGTTCTTAGAAAGTTTGCAGAGAGAAAAAACAGAATTTGGCCCCAGAATACTTTTTTTTTTTTTTTTTTTTGACAGGCAGAGTTAGTGAGAGAGAGAGAGAAAGGTCTTCCTTCCGTTGATTCACCCCCAAATGGCTGCTACAGCCAGCGTGCTGCGCCGATCCGAAGCCAGGAGCCAGGTGCTTCTCCTGGTCTCCCATGCGGGCGCAGGGCCCAAGCACTTGTGCCATCCTCCCAGAATACATTTTAACATTGAGGGATTTGTGTTTCTCCATAAGTTTGAAGCATTTCTTTTCTTGTAGACTTCCCTCTTGATTTTCATAACCTTGATGAAAATATTATTTTGCCATCTGACTTGTAGGTGAAGAAATAAGTTATTTCTGAAGCACCTGAAAGCCTTTTTCTGTTAGTTTCTCATCATCTATTTTGTGAAGTGGTGACTATAACCAACTTTGACGATTTTATACACTGTATTGCACAGAATACCTTTTATCGTACTTGTGCGTTCTCATGTCATATTTGCCAGAATTTCCACAGGAAACAGATGTTTGATATGAGGATAAATCTAGCCATATTTCAGTATGGACCTTTGTGCCTGAGAGTGATTAGGTTGATGGGGGATGAAGCTTCATAGTTCAACGAAGCAATAAGATTCAGTTGAAATTATTTAGATATGTAGAACTTTCCTCAATAATGTTAACTTAGCTATAGCTACTATAAAAATATTTTTATTTAGAAATGTTTATAAATTGTACAGTATGCAACAGGGTTATGCCTTTCCCCTCCTTAGTTTACATATGAGGAGTATGGACTTTTTTATTTTAAATTTTATTTATTTATTTGAAAGGCAGAGTTAGAGAGAGGCAAAGGCAGAGAGAGAGGTCTTCCATCTTCTGGTTTACTTCCTGGATGGCCACAGTGGTCGGAGCTGTGCTGATCTGAAGCCAGGAACCCAGAGCTTCTCCGGGTCTCCCACGCAGTTGCATGGGTCCAAGGACTTGGGTCATCTTCTACTGTCCTCCCAGCCACAGCAGAGAGCTAGGACTTGAACTGGCGCCCATATAGGATGCCTGTACTGCAGGCAGTGGCTTTACCCACTGCGCCGCAGCTCCAGCCATGAGCAGCATGGTCTTGATGCTCAGAGGTGTATATCTTAAAACCTCCTCTTGTCTTTCACTTTTTTACCCATTATTTTTGAATAATGGGCAGGAAGTCTTCAGAATTGCATACTCCTTTAAGTAACACTCGTTCACGATTGGGAGAACAGATGTGTAGAGCAGCAGTACTTGGACAGTTGGAGTAGACTTGCTGAGCGAGGTGGGCCGTGTGGTACGCTGAGACAACTTGGCAGCAAGGAGACTCTCCAACAGCAACTCCTAGACTTGGCTCTCCCACAGACTCTGTGTGAGTGGGAGCAAATAACTTCATTTTCTCCAGATACCAATTCGCTCAACTAAAAGCAGAGAATTAGATTAGTGTTTTTCAAATTTAACTGATACTCTTTAGTAACCAATATTTAAAGAGAAAATAATAGCATGTCACACGTAGTACAACCAAGTGTCATTTCAAACCTCGTTTTATTTCACAGCTCTTCCTCTGTGGTTTTTAAATTCATTTCTTACTTACTGATCATCATCTGACAAGTTTGATAGTCATTTGCGGCCCTTCTGCTTCCAAACCTAAAATATTTGTTCACGGGGACTGGCGTTGTAGCCCCGTGAGTTAAGCTGCTCCTGATCTTGGACACCCCATTTCAGCTCCGGTTTGAGTCCTGGCTGTTCGGTTTCCAGTCTCGCTCCCTGCTAGTGCTCCTGGGAAGGCAGGGGAGGATGACCCTGTGCTTGGGCCCCTGCCATGCAAGTGGGAGACGCGCATGGAGTTCCAGGCCCCTGACTTTGGCCTGGCCCAGCCCTAGCTGTTGCGGACATTTGGGGAGTGAACCGGTCCCTTTGCCTCCCTCCATCCCTCATTCTGTCACTCTGGCTTTCTATAAAATAAAATCTTAGCTTTTTTTTTTTTTTTTACATATTTAACTGTTTAAAATGATTTAGAGAAAATTATCATGCAAATTATATGAAATCAACGTAAGTATCCACAAGGTAAATACGTGCTTACTTTGAAATATGTTGTCTGTGGCTGTTTTCCTCCTAGAGTGGCAGAGTTGAATAGTTGTGACAGTCCATATGGCCCGAAAAGCCTAAAGTATTTCCTGCCTGGCCCCCCACAGGAAAAAATATGCTGACCCTTGAAGCTAGGTAGTCCTTATGATTCAAATATGGGCCAGATCATAGGTATTTCTAAAGCACTGATTAATGGCTTATTTTTGGAATACATGGAGATGTTGACTATAGTTTGTTTACGTGCATAGTCTTCTAGAGCCTCTATTTTTTTTTTAATAAAACAATGATGAACATTTTGTGAAGTACTTGCTGGTTTCATTTTAGTCCCAATGGCGTGGTAAATGAATGCGGATTTAGTGTTTTAGTGCTTTCAGAGAAAGGAAGCTTAACACTCCTTAAAATTATTCAGTAAAATGTCTTTTTGCTATTTGATTTTCTGCTGGGTGGTTCTCTTTCTTGTGTGCAGTCACTAATCTTTTTAAAAGAAAGTTCAGTACAAAATGAGTAACACTGCATTGAAAAATCTCTGCTGAGACTTAGCTGCATGTAGCCTAGCAGTTAAAACTTCTGTACCAGGGGTGGAGTACCGATGTTCCATACCTGGCCCCAGCTCTTTACTCCAGGCTCCTGCTAATGCAGACCCTCGAACGCAGTGATGATGGCCCAAGTAACTGGGTTTCTGCTACCCATGTGGGAGACCTGGGTTGGGTTCCTGGTTCCCACCTTATGCTTGGCCCATGCCTGCCTACTGTGGTCATCTGGGAAGTGAACCGCTGCATGGGAGGTCTCTTTCTGTCTCTTTCCTAGTTTCTCAAGTAAATACATTTTTAAAAATTTTGGAAAGAACAAACCACCTAATCTAGAAGGGAAGAAGTCTACTATAACATTCAGATCTTATAGATAATATGCTAAGATTTAAAAAATTTTTGTTGTAATCATATTGATGATGTAAACTCTTATTGTTGGTTTAAGTTAGATTTGAAAATCAAACTCAACTCATTTTAAACTGTTTAGGATTTTTATGCATTTTTCCTTTTCTTCATATTGCATAAAATTAAAACATGAGAAAAAGAAGAAAGATTAACTGGAATTAGCATTTTTGATTTTCTATTATTTCCTCACGTCTCAAAAGATTACATTTTATATATGTATTAAAATTATAATTTAATACATACTGCCTGTATTCAGGGGCATTGAAGGTATTGCTGAAAATGCATTCATCTAAATAAAGTGAAAAGGAAATTCAGTGACTCTTAACCACAAAATGTGTCCAACTTCATACGAAATAAAAGGAATGCGAAATAAAATGTACAGAGATACCATTTCCCACCTAGCAACTAGGAGTTTAACAGCACATTCTATGGATGAGGCTGTGGGAACAAACACACCTTCCTAATACATTCAGGGCGATAGTGTTCATGGTAATCCCTTGGAGGACAGTCTCTCAGGGACTATCAAAGTCAGTAGTACAGATTTCCTCACACTTGACCTCACATCCGGGAACTTATGGGGTACATTGATCTCCTAAGTCACATACAACTACACACACACACCCCACATATGTATGAAATGGTGTGCCAGGTTTTTATTGCAGCGTTATTTTGAGATTAGATACAGCTCAAATGCCCATCAATCAGAGACTAGTCACAAATTATTGCGTATCCATTTTTTGATGACTATGCCATGGTTGAAAACCGAAAAGCTGTCTGCACTAATGAAGGAGCTCTTACGATGGACTATTAAATGAAATAAGCAGGGTGCTTGTTTATGGCATTCTAGGCTTTGTATTCCAAAGACAGAAAGTAATTTAAGTGTGCAGTTTCCAAAAATAGCATCTGAAAGGAAAGCAACAAAAGGCAGATACAGATTGTGTTGAAAATGAAACTTTTTTTCATTTTCTACTTTATGCCATATTTGATTTTTGTGTATAAACTTCTGCCTGGGCTAGCCCGGGCTAGCCGGGGCTGTTGGCCATCTGGGGAGTGAACCAGTGGCTGGAAAATCTCTCTTTCTCTTTGTCTCTTTTCTTTTACTCTATAACCCTGACTTTAAAATTAATAAATAAATCTTTACAAAAAAAAGTTTGTTTCTCTAGAAAGAATTTGGTATTTTAAAGTTATGACATTGAACCTAAATCAAGAATTTACAGCTTAATTCTTTGACACTAAGTCTTTTTTTCCTGATAGACTGGTTTGTTAGTAATGAATTATTTTGTGGAGAATAAATTTTTTTAATTCAAAATTTTATTTTCATTTTATTTGAAAGATGAGACAATTGCATACACAGAGACATTGACAGAGAGACAGAAACAGAGAACCACAAGGAGATCTTCCATTTGCTGCTTTATTTTATTTTTTTTATTTGACAGGTAGAGTTATAGTCAGTGAAAGAGACAGAGAGAAAGGTCTTCCTTCCATTGGTTCACTCCCCAGTTGGCCGCTACTGCCGGTGCTGTGCCAATCCGAAGCCAGGAACCAGGTGCTTCTTCCTGGTCTCCAATGCGGGTGCAGGGCCCAAGCACTTGGGCCATTTTCCACTGCCTTCCTGAGCCACAGCAGAGAGCCGTACTGGAAGAGGAGCAACTGGGACAAGAACCCAGCTCCCATATGAGATGCCGGCGCTGCAGGCAGAGGATTAACCAAGTGAGCCATGGCGCTGGCCCCCCATTTGCTGCTTTAGACCCCAAATGCATGCAACAGTCAAAGTCAGGACCCAGGAACTCAACTGAGGTCTCCTATAAGGATTGCAGGGGCCCAATTACTTTATCCGTCATCTGGAGAATAAAATTAAAAGTATATTATGCTTAACTGTTTAGTAGATTAAGAATTTTATCATTGTACTGTATTTTTTCAGTGTTCTTTTTCATTTGTTTATCATACTTCTTAGTGTTTTCCTAATAATTTTTAATTCTTCAATTAGAATAGGTTCTTGGCTTATTTTGAATTTAAGATGACACCGTGATGTTAGGCACATTTCTAAACTCTGTGGGAGTACAGTATCTCTTAACCACAGGGAAGTACTTTTGTGCAAGAGACTAGTTTCACGTTTGTCCAAAGTGAAGGAGACTTTCAGGGTTTAGTGTGTTCCTGAGATTTTATTTTCACCATTTTGACAGACTTTTTTTCTTACTCTGTTTTCGATGAATCTAGAAACCACAGTTCTGATCGGCATCCCCTGTCTCCAGCTGAAACTAGCAAACTTGTGATTTCAGTGAGTGCACACAGTGGGCTTCCTCTTTAAGAACAAGTTAACACTGGAGAGGTAGCTTTGCTCTAGCAGGGTCTTGGGCCAGTCTACCTGGAGTTCCAGGCATTTGGCTTTGGGATTCAGCTATGGTTTAGTTCTGTCTGGTGATTGTTATCTTTGTGGACTTCAATATTGAAGGGGACAATTTTTTTTGAAAGATTTATTTATTTTATTTGAAAGTTAGAGTTAGAGATAGGAGAGGGAGATGGAGAGGGAGAGAGAGAGAGAGAGAGAGAGAGAGAGAGAGAGAGAGAGAAAGTCAGTCTTCCATCTGCTGGTTTACTACCCAGTTGGCTGCAACGGTTGGAGCTGCGCCAATCTGAAGCCTGGAGCCAGGAGCTTCTTCTGGGTCTCCCACGCGGGTGCAGGGGCCCATCTTGGGCCATCTTCTACCGCTTTCCCAGGCCATAGCAGAGAGCTGGATCGGAAGTGGAGCAGCCGGGACTTAAACCGGCGCCCATAAGGGATGCTGGCACTGCAGGCAGTGCCTTTACCTGCTACACCACAGCACTAGCCGCGCTGGGGAAGATTGTGGGTCCTGTGGGCGGCTTGGTGGCGGGATTTTAGGAGTTTTCCGGTTTGTGTCCATTTCATTGGACTGATGCAGGGGATCTGGCCTGGGGAATCCTGAAGGGATACCTTCACTCCCTGATGGGTGTTTGTTTCCTTTCCCTACCGCAGGAGAGGGGTGCGTTGCAGAACACACAAGCTGACTGCCAATTGCCTTTTAGCTAAATTCCACATAGATGTGGTTTTTGAAAGGGAGAGTGACAGAGACAGAATCTGTGGGTTCACTCCCAGGTACCTTCAACAGCTGCAGCTGGGCCAGTTTGAACACAGGCGCCCAGAACCCAGTGTGGGTTTTCCATGAGGATGGCAGGGACCCATGTACCTGAGCCGTCAGTTGGTGCCCCCGAGGGTGTGCGCTGGCAGGAAGGTAGAATCAGAAGGGGAGTAGCCGGGACTCCGACCAGAGACTGCATTATGGATGTCCCTGTCCTAAGTGGTGTCTTATCTCCCTCTTTTGTTTACAAAAGTCTCCTTCTTACTGCTTGTAATAATGCGTTGTTATGTATACAGAGTGATTTGCCAAAGGGTTAGGTAGTGGATCCATGCCATTTTTATGTAGAAAGTTGTAATAGAAGGGGTGAGCATTTGCCACAGTGGTTTAAGACTCAGTTTGGGGCCGGCGCCGCGGCTCACTAGGCTAATCCTCCACCTAGCGGCGCCGGCACACCGGGTTCTAGTCCCGGTCGGGGCGCTGGATTCTTTCCCAGTTGCCCCTCTTCCAGGCCAGCTCTCTGCTGTGGCCAGGGAGTACAGTGGAGGATGGCCCAAGTGCTTGGGCCCTGCACCCCATGGGAGACCAGGAGAAGCACCTGGCTCCTGCCTTCGGATCAGCGCGGTGCGCTGGCTGCAGCGCGCCAGCCATGGCGGCCATTGGAGGGTGAACCAACGGCAAAAGGAAGACCTTTCTCTCTCTCTCACTATCCACTCAGCTTGGGATACCTGTATCCCATATCATGGTGCCTAGGTTCCAGTATCAACTGGGCTTTTGATTCTGGTTTCCTGATAAAGCCTACTCTGGGAGGCAGCAGGTAATGGCTCAAGGTCCCTACTGGGAGACCCAGATGGAGTTCTAGGCTCCTGACTTCAGCCTGGCCCAGCCCTGGCTGTTGCAGGCCTTTGGGCAGTGAACCAGCAGATGTAAGATCTCTTGTCTGTCTCTTGCTGTCACTCTCTGTCTCTGTGCTTTTCAAATAAATTAATTGATTACTAAAAAAAGTCTTAATACACATTGAAGGTTTTTGTTTCTGTTTTTACTGTTGGACTTGTGGTTATATTCTACATGTCTGTTTTCTAGAATGAGACTGATAAATATTGATTATTGTCTTGTTATGTATTGATACTTTTTTGTACATGAAATACATAGATGGAAGAATGCTCATTTTGAGAACTTTTTATTATTTTTCATCCAACACTTGTGTATAAGCTTTGCATTGGTGCATAATAATGAACTTTGGACATATTTTTATGATTTCAGGACAAAAATTGCCCAAGATATCGAGAGGCTGATACATCAGAGTGATATCATAGATCGAGTGGTGTATGACTTAGATAATCCAAAGTAAGTGTGATTTTTAAAAAAACTTATTTTACTGCAACATTCTAACAGCTAAGAAATTGTAGCGGACATTCTTTTAGCTTATCTTCCCTGCGTGTTCCTTTTTTGGCAGGGATTTATGCTAAGGGTAAATCCTGCTTGTTTACTTGAGTCTCTCACGAGCTTTTGTTTGCTTTTTGGTGAGTTGTTAATGGGGTTAAGGTAAAGGTCACGAAGCGGTACTGTGTTCTTAAGCTGGAATTCTGTGCCCTTGCACTGGAGGTTTCCTGTGCCTTTTTAGTGCTAATAGATGATATTCTCTGTTTCTAAATTAATTATAATATTTTCATCTGAGAATGGTTTATTAGAATTATTGTTAGGGCATAAACGATTTTAAAAATAAGTCTGGCCTTTTCTTAAGATAGTGAGGCAAAAGTTCTTACACCAGTACAAGCATACAAGGAAGTCTCTAACTAATTATAAATGATTTTTTTGTCTATAAACAATAGCCAGAGTTGGTACTTTACATCTGTTTGTTAGGTTTTTTGGTATTGAAAGTAACGAGGAAGGTGATGTGGCAATAGTGTTTAAATGCAATGTATTTTAATGTACTTGCTTTAAAATTTTTATTTAGTTACACTGTTCCAGAAGAAGGAGATATTTTAAAGTTTAACTCCAAATTTGAATCTGGGAATCTACGTAAAGTAATTCAGATTAGAAAGTAAGTCATTTCAGATTTTCTTATTTTGTGTGCGTATTTGTGTGTAGAAGTTTTTCGAATTTTCATTAAATTTCTTTGTCTTCTCTTTTCAGAAATGAGTATGATCTTATTCTGAACTCAGATATAAACAGTAATCACTATCATCAGTGGTTTTACTTTGAAGTCAGTGGGATGCGGCCAGGTGTTGCTTACAGGTTTAACATCATTAACTGTGAGAAGTCCAACAGTCAGTTTAATTATGGTAAGACAGTTTTTGTTCCCAATTGAGAGGGCCTATAAGCATCATAACTGTAGAACAGACGTTTAAAAAAACCATTACTTTTTTTTAATGTTTCAGTATCTTTTGTTTTCTCTAGTTCGCAAAATTCAGATGTTTATTATGCAAAATTTGAAATAGGTTAAGCTTTGATTTTCTGATGAGAAGAGTTATTGCTGTATAGCCAAGTGCTTTAAAATGTAATAGGTATGGTTAATTACATCCAAGTTGAATAGACCAAAAGACTTATGATGTGTGCTCCAGTGCTTCCATCTGATCATGTGATTTTTCTTCTTTAGCCTAATTGATTGCTTTTTGAATACTGAGCTTTTTTTTTTTTTTAAATTTATTTATTTACTTGAGAGACACAGTTATTTACTTGAGAGCCAGGAGCTTCTTCCTGGTCTCCTATAAGGGTGCAGGGACCTAAGAACTTAGGCCATCTTCTACTGCTTTCCCAGGCCATCAGCAGGGAGCTTAAAAGGAAGTGGAGCATCGGGGACTGGAACAGGGGCCCATATGGGATGCCGGCAGTGCAGGGGAGGGTTAACCTACTCTGCCAGCCTACTCCGTGCTGAACCCTGAGTCAGCCTTTTAATCTGTGGAATAAAACCCACTTGGTTTTCATGGCTAATATTTTGTTATGAATTTTTGTATTCATACTCAGCGTGATCTGTAGTGTTTTCTTTTGGTACGGTATCTGCTTTGGATATCATAGTAGTGCTCGTAGAATGAGTTGAGGAATAGTCAAGTATTCCCCTTGTGCTTGTACAGAATTGGTGTTAATTCTTAGATGTCTGGTAGAATTCTCCAGTGACACTGGTAGTCTTTTAAGCTAGGAATTCAGTTTCTTTAATAGTTTCAGAGCTGTGTTGTGGCAGTTTGTGCTTTTTGAGAATTGGTCGCTTTTCTCATCAGATGCATGTGTAGGGTCGTTTGGAGCAATCTCTTACTCTCCTGTTAGGTCCATGGAGTCTGCAGTGAGAGCCCCTGGCTCATTCCTCCCAGTGAGAATTTGTGGCTCCTCTCCTTTCTGGTCAGTCTTCCGGGGATTTCCTGGTTTTATGGACATTTTCAAGGGTTGTTTTTTCTCTACTATTTTTCCTTACGCGACTATCTTTAAGCAACTTTGGTAATATGCTAGCAAAAATCTTAAATATATGTAGCCTCATTTAAGGCTTTTTTGTTTAGTACTTTAACAGATATAAAACTAAGGGCTGTTGGTCACACGTTTTGTCTTTGTAGTCAGGCATGTCTTGGAAAGTAATATAATTGTATACTTCACACCAACATTTAAAAATTGAAACCTTAAATGTCAGGTACTTAACCTGAATATAGCAATTTTTTGTCTGTAAAATAAGATTTTTTTTCTGGTATATATTAAAAAATCTTACATTTGCAGTTGAGGAGAAATTTGTATTGTGTGTGATGAGTTCCAAAATCTCAAGAGATCTCAATCATCTGAAAGAAAAGACTTAAACAACTGAGGCGTGATAATGCTATGTTGTCTGTTTCAAAGGAGTCCTCTAGGTTGTTGAAAGCAGGAGTGTCTTGGTACTCTTTAAGAAGGCGTTTCTGAAAAATTAATATTTCCAAAAGAGGTTGTTCCTACCTGTCATTGCGTATGTGGAAAATAGAAATTGTATACTCTAAAATTAGGGATACGAGCTTAATCAGATTCATTTATTTAATGCAATAATTATAGGAAGATAATGTAGCATATATATCTAGCTTAGTTATAAACACTTTTCAGATATTTAAATGTTTTAAATTAATTTTAAGTGGTTTATAATTTTAAAGTATGTATTTAAAGTATGTATTTTTACTAAAGTTTCTTCAGTGGTTATGTTGGTTTGTTTAATACTGTTATGAGTATTATTGATGTAGTCTATTTCACATTCTTGATTTTTGTGAGTTTAGTGAATAACTACCAATCATTGCACGTAATATTTCTCAGAAACTTTTATTAAGTGACCTTCACCTTTCATATAAAAATAATCACATATAATGATCATCAAAATTAATAAATCTTATGTTTTCCATATTTAACTCAAAAGTAGGTGTTAACATTTTTAGGCATAATATTTTTGGAAGACAGAAGAATAGTTAAATTAATTTTATTCATATTTTGGGTATTTCTCAAGAGTAAAATATTCAGCCAGATTTATACTTCATATGTCCATGTAATTTTCAAATAGTGTTACAAATAGATATTTTTATTAATAACATTTATTTATTAATTTAAAAGATAATACTCTACACTTGAAACTTTATTAAATGTTTTAAACCTGAAAATTAGAAGTGTGCATTTGGAGCAGTGCTTCCTGATTAAAAAAAGAAAGAAAGATAGAAAAATACTTGTACCTCCATGTGGTAGATAGAATAATTTCTTCCTTTAGTGTCATTTGAAATTTTAAGATTCTGTAACTAAATCTAAATCAAAGCAGCGGGACAGATGGTTGCTTTATTTTTAAATTTCCTCTCCTACTTCCCCTTTCTCCTTTGGTATTCTTGTATGTATATATCACATTTTCCAAACCGACTTTGTAGAGAATTTGGAAAACAGAATGGTCTTAGGAATAAAATTAAAACTATTGACAATACAGCACCCAGAGATAATCATCTGTCGGTTCCCACCAGCTAAAATAATGCTGTGTATGATCTCTGCATACACATAGTCAGGTACCTGCTGTTCAGAATGAGGGCCATAACCAGGTAATTTTGTATTCTATATTTTAATCAAATATTATGTTGTCAGCAATACTTTTCTGAAGCAGGGTTTTAATGGACATCCAGTGGAGGTGTGTTGTAATTTATTTTTTCAAAACTTTGTTAGGCATTTATTTCTAATTATTTTCTGTTTAAATATTACTTAGATGAACATTATTATACTTATATTTGTGTATGTAATTTCTTAGTTACAAGTTCATGGAAGTGGAATTTCCTCATCTGTGTGCCCTCTAGACATACATCTTTTTTTTCTGATTACAAAGCAGTGGAAACTAAGAATATATTTGAGATTTAGCAAGATTAAAACAGTGTGGAGAAGAAACTAGGTAGGAAAGAAGAGAACATCCAGACAACCAGTCTTTAATACTTGCTGTCTGTCTTAGTAAACTGACTCACATAATTTTACAATTAAATTTTACCCTTTTATAGATTTGAGGTTGCAGTTTGAAAACTCGTTTGCAACACTGCATTTTTTAAAGCTACACAGTCATTTGCAAAATTTTCCCCTCTGTCCTTAACTATTATCCAGCAACGTTGTAAATAATATCTGTGTAATAGTGTGTAGTAAATCTATTGAATAATGTGTAATAAATGGTAACAGATTGACAGAAATTTAAGTCTACGGCAGCATTTCAGAATTACAAGCTGTCTTGAAGTAGATATCCTTACTTATACTTTGCCATGAATTCCTAGAAAGAGAATTTCCCATTGAGAGTGAACAGACGTTGCTGAGAATCAGGGGGAAATGGGTCCTTTAGTTCACCCTGTTGGATGGATGTTTGATAGTAGGCTTATATTTGATTTCATCCATCTGAATTTATTTAGATATCTTCTGTGAATTGGGATTTAAGTTAATCCTATTCTTAGTAAAGTAGCTTTGACTGAACTTTCTCTAATTCATCAGAGTTTAGAAATGCTGCTTTAATGAATTTATTGAGTTGTCCAGCATCTCACATTTATAACTCATTTGCCGCTGCGTACCTGACCACAAGTAAAAGAAGGGTGGGAAACATTGCTTAGAGACACCATGCCTTGTTTCTCTGTTAGCAGGTACAGCAAATGGTTAGATTAGTACACACAGATTAGAAATTGGTTGATAAGTGGTCACACACCCTGTCTTGCGCGGAGTTCCTCACATTTTGAATTTGAGTTGAGTCATTCTGTGTCCCTGTTAGGTTGTAATATCACAGTTCTCATAAGCTATGATCCTAAGTGCCCACTCATATTTGGGAACTATTTGTTGCCCTAGTACCATTTTATTTTTAAATTATTTTGACTTTATAATGTAGCTTAATATTCTGTCATTTTTTTTCAAAAACTTTTTCTACTCATTTTTTTTCTGAACAGTTTATTCTAAATACCATTCACAACAATTTTATCAAGTGCCAAAAATTTCCATTGTAGTAGATTTATAGAATAATTTGGAGAGGATTTTTAAAAATTTAAGTTCTGCTACCTAGGATCATGGTATATTTTGTTTTTCAATTATTTTGTGCCCTCACCTAAGTTTTTTAGTTTTGTTTTTATAAGTTTTCTATATTTGTATTTATATTTATTCTTAAAAGTTTTTAATATGCTTTTTGATGTTATTCTTTTTAAAGCGTTCTCTTCTATTTTAAAACCTAATATTGATTTATTAATTTACTTGAAGATTAGTCTCAGTACTGAACTTTTTATAACTTCTCATGGCTCTACTGTGGATGTACCTAGAATTTCTGTTTTTCATGGTTATATTGTGTGTCTTTCATTACTTCATTGTTTACGGATAGAACCTTTGAGAATTAAAGGTTCTAAAATTAAAACAACATTGGACAGCCTTGATTTATTTTTTTTAATGAGAATGCTACTAGTATTTACATTAAACATGTTAACTCTTATTTAGAGATAGATATTCTTTCTCACATTAAGAATTTCTTTTTACTTGGTTTTAAAAGTCAGTTACTTTATTTTTCATATTTGTCAGTATATATAACTGTATAATGCCATTATATGTTGGTGGATTGTATACTATTAATAATGTTCCCATCATTAAACCATCCTTGAATTTCAGAAATAAGGCCGCTTGCCACATGGATTGATCTTTTAACATACCATTTCTTTGTTAGTATTTTGTTTAAAAAGCTTTGCCTTGTTGTTAGTATTTTGTTTAAAGGTTTTATCTCACTAGTCATGAGGTAGAGAAGTTTCAAGTAGCAGAGATTTTTGTATGTGGCATTTTCAGTATGTGTCTTTCTTTCTTTCTTGACTTAAAACAT